ATTTACGAGTTCAAGGTGAATGGCACGGTACACAACGCACGTGAACAGTGCGATCCACACCTTTCCTCCATTTTTTTAAAAACAGGGTTCCAGCCAAATCAATCCCTATGATTTCCAGTGGCGCACAATCTGTAACTCAGTCTGGTGGCAGAGGTGTCGGTTCTCTTGACATAGCCTTAGTTTTAAATCTTTTACAAATGATACAGTTAAAGAAGACATTTTTAATGGCCTTTCTAGCTCTGACTATCGAAATCTTTCTTGTAATATACATTGCATCATTTGAAGACCAGAATGACAGTTCTTATTATGTACATTTTTGATTAATAACCTGGTGAAATCACATTTTTCTGGTTAAATTGTACAGAAAGATTCATTGTCATCTCTATTTAGTATCTCGTTTTAACTCTTAGAATCCATCATCATCAATAAGCGTTCAATAAATTATAATATTTCTTATCAGATATAATTTTGAACCAAACGAATTAAATTTTTCTCAGAATTTTCAATTTCATACTGTGAAAGTTCAATGTTTCCGTCTTTTCAGAACCACCTTTACAATTATTTACAATCTAATATCCATGCAAACACTCTAATCATTTTATCATATTGGATACACTGATTCGATGCCAAGGGGGTGCGTCTTTAGATAGATCAATATTCACCTTTTTATCTTTTTTCTCTCCAATCTACTTCTTCATGCAAATAAATAATCTCACCATTGCCAGTTTTCAGGCAATCCCACCATCTAACCAAGCATTTGCTTCGCAAAACATCCGCGCGACACAGTCGGCAATATTTAGTTTCCTTGGATATGTTTTCCCTGCGTCAACTCTCGAATCTCTTTAACCCGATTTTCGACGAAACGACCATTTCTTGCCTGTTATCCCCAAAGGGAGTGTGAATCGACCAAGGTAACTTTAAATCGGGCAAACTGAGAGCCTGATAAAGAATTTGCAGTCGAAGAACCTATACAACAGGCCATTAATTCTAAGCGAAGAATGCTCAAAGGGTTTAAAGGCGATACTCTAGACTTCGCTCGCATGAGATGTATTTTTATTTCAGAATTAAATACTGATCGGACAAAGACGCACGCTGCGTACGCCCCCTTGCAAGCATCCACAAATACATGTTGTTCAGACGTGTCATTAATAAATAAGTATCGAGGCAAAGAAACATCTTTCAAAACATTAAGTTCTTTAAACCAGTTCAAAAATGTTTTTACATCATTTGGAGACAACTCATCATCCCACGCAATTTTCACTTTCCACAATTTTTGCAGAAACAGTTTCGGAAGCAATGTAGTTGGCGTTAGTAAACCAATAGGATCAAAATTTGTTTGCACAATTCCAAAATTGTCCTCTTTGTGATTTTCGTATTACAGGTCAATGTATCTGTGCAGCACCTCAGCGTATCATTATACAAATTCCAATTTACTCCCAAAACGGAAGTATCCCCTGAATGATTGTCAACATTTGTACCAGCCACATTGACTTCAAAACCGCGCAAGTTAAAACATCCATTTGACATGATTAATTTTTGAATGTTCAATAAACGTAAACTGTCATCAATACTAAAAACACTAGATAAACAATTATCACATAATGACGATTTCATTTTTGAGCAACTTCACTATATGACGTGGACAGTTTTTCTAATAGATGCATTATAGATGCGTTCAACAAGTAGAGGCTCGAAAAACTCCAAACACAACTCTGCATGCCTATAATTATTGCTCTTCATGCATGGGAAAAAATCTGAGAAAATCTCTATCTTTAGGTGCGACGGATAAATTAAAAGCCTTTCAATATCGCACTAATACCAATCGGATACATTCTAAAACGACTATAATATCGGTATTAATTCAATAGATTTATTCCTTTACACAACATTCGTTCAAAGAGAGTTTCCCTTTCTCATCAGAAGCTTCAAAACAGGACGAATTTTCGTGGTTTCCACTTCCTAATTTGATTACAAGCCTATGCGGCAAATAATACTTCTTATTCAGTTCGGTTTCTGGTCCGTTCAATAATATCAACCTTTCCCATTCCTTGAACACATTTTGATAATCATCGAAAAATTTACTACATCGAGTTTATAGTTCAGCTTTTGAACCTTTTCCAGGATAATTCTTTATTTCGTTAAATGTTCATATCACATTTCCACGGAGTTCTACTTCATATCTTCCATCTGGAAGAATTTTCATTTTGTTCTCAATTCAGATAATTAAACTTTCATTCATTTTAACAGTTCGTTTGGAGCGCATATTCCTATTTTTTTCAAGTTCCCATAACTCATTCAGGAATTCTCCTGACATGCATGAAATGTTTTCAAAATATTATCCTTTTCCACCCGAATTTCGTTTGCCAAATACCGTCCCCCCCTTTTCGTTTCGACAGCCGTTACCCCGACTATAATTCAATAGAATTTCCCGTCAATAATTCCTATAACATCTGCTCCGATTAAAAGGTTAATTTCAATTTCCTTTCGCGATGGATCAGAAAATTCGATTTCTTTTCTTTTTTCATTCAAAATCTCTTTATCTTTAACCTAGGATAAACCGCAAATCTTTTTTCCGATAATGCCTCAAAACTACATGCGAATGTTCCTTTTAAAATTGCTGACCTCGACCGAAAACACTTCATGCTGTTTTAGGTTTCGTTTCGTCCCCCCCAAACAGTGCATGTATACTGTCTCCTCCCGAAGTGGAGATGCTTTAGCTGACTCATCATATTTTCACTAACGTAGCTACTTTGGCTTCCGCTATCAATTTGCCGCGAATAATTTTCTCGCGACCTTACACCGAATTCGAACGCAAAGCGTTGCAAAAATACAGTTTCGCTTCTGCCACAGTTAGAAGAACTCTCTTTGAAACATTTATCTGATCATTATTTTTTAGCTTTTGATTACACATTACATCAAATGATTACAACTTTGCAAATAGAACAACTTACTTACCTTTGAAAGGACAAAATTTACTAATGTGACTCGCTCTTTTCAGACAGAAAAACAGCACCTTTTTTCAACAACAATTGTTTTTTTTTTCAGCTAAAGTCATTTTTTTTGCAGAGTAACATTTTTCACTAAATGTTTCTTTAACAAAAATTACAGTTGGAAAACACTCTTACTGAATTCTCAAGCCTTACTAGAGCTGACGCTGTTACAGGTTCATTTTGCTTTACCTGTTCGGGGTTAAAGTCTTTCTTCCGGTGATTCTGTTGTGAAGCGAAATCAGTTCTTGCGAAGTAGAACCATCTCTGCAATTAACTTCCTGCCTTAAGAAATTCATTAAATGTTGCAAGGATCGAGTCCCTTTAGTTTCAATGGAGTCGTGATTTCTGGCTTCTTTCCCATGCCATCAGTACTTCTTCTGGTAACCACACTTTCCACTAAGGGGGTCAAAAAAATCCCCATATTTTTCTTGGGTTCTCCCCAAACTTTCCAACGCTCGCAATTTTCCCTTCTAAGTTCATCATACAAGGGAGGGTAGATCAGTTTTTGCTCTTCTGGTTACAGCGTTCTTTCATCAGTCTAGGCTTAACAAGTCTCTCACATAGATTTGCACAAGTAAATCTTCGCGTCCAAAGCGCTCTCTTAGTTGTTCGATGGCTTTAGGATAATTAGCTGCCGTTGCCAGAAAGCTAAGGAACTAGGCGTTCTGCCTTCGATTTGGGTTCCATAGCCTGCAACAGATACTGCATTTTATCTTCATCCGCGATACTTCTGTCGTCGTGGATTTTCTGGAACTGACTCCAAAAAGTCAGGTATCTTTAGCTTCACCACTGAATTTTTTAAGCTCAATTTTAGGCAATTTAAATTTCCTAGATTCGGAATTATTTGAAAGAGAGGAGGCTTGTATTTCCGCATCTATTTGAGCACACTGTTCTAGAAACTTACCTCGATAATTCTCCGCTTCTTGAAAATCATCACTAAATAATTTTTCTCCATCTTCAGTCTGCAGAATTTGCTGCGATATAGCACTCTGGCATACGTCAAGTCTCTGGAATTTATCACAAAGTTAACACTTCAAAATCGAAAGTATTTTTAAATCTCTTACTTCTTTAGTTAATTCACTTTCGGTTTTTCTTGAGGTTTGCGTAAACGCAATTCTAAGTCCTTTTCTTTGGGCCTTTAAAGCGATCAAATCCATCTTCAAAGTATATTCAAAATCGAAATTCAATATCAAAAGTTCAATCGGAAAATTCTAATTTAAAGCAGCCGGGCCCACCGAGGGTACCATTATGTTACGAAGAACACAGAAAATATATAAATCAAATATATTTAAAACAGTTCGTTCAGTTGCGGGCCTGCCTCTACCCGAGGCTGGATGCATTATAAATAAAGACAAAAAAATTCTTAATAAATCATTCTTTATTTCCATCAAAACAGTATCACTCTTCCGAGATCAGCTTTCGTTCGTCCACAAGCTAAAACATTCGAAAACACTCAGCACGCAGGCTGACGTCACAAACAGCAGCGCCTCGCGCCGGTTATTACTTCAGTTCATTTCACAACACTTATATTTAGGAAAGAATATTTAGGCCTTCTGGTCAAAAATAAGAAGGATCCATCGTCAGAGCTACGGTTGGGTGAAATTGTCCTGATAGATAGGAGATGACATCAAAAAAACGGATGCATTGGCCTTTAGCTAAGGTCATTCGACTAATTCCTGGGAAAGATTCAATTTATTTAAAGATTTAATGTTATTTGGTATTTCCTGGCTAACTTTATTGGGTTATTCGCTCAATTTAAGAGATATCTCACACTGGGTGTTATTTTCAGAACCGTTTCGTGGAAAATGTGTTGAAAGCTTTCTATAAATAACTTTTAAATATGGAAATTAATATGGACCTTTCGCTCGCTTTTACAAATTAATAATTAATATTTAAACTGAAAAATCATGCTGGTCACCTTCTTCAATAAATTATCTTTTTCTTTCCTATACTAACTTCAAATTTTGTGAAAATTCAGTTCCGCGACCTTACTGTAAACATTTGAAGGGTGAATTTAAGGATCGGGCAACGTTACTTACGGACATGGCTGGCATTAGTATCTACTCCGGACGGCTTTTAGGAAAAAATATTAGGACATTTTCGTTTTCTCGGTTGTCTAGGATTACTCTTAAGGTATAACAGTGTTTTCCAGCATGTTGCCCACATTTTTAAATCATTATGTTACATAGTTTGCTTTTTAAATCATTCTGAATAACGTATCTGAAACTAAAACATTTGTACCTATATTAACATGTGTTAGCAGTCATAAATATTAATAAGTATTTACAACTGCTGATTGAACTTACATTTTGTATTAAATAACACTGTAGGTAATCTAATGTATAAGATTACAAGATAATCTATTAATTGCTTAATTATTTTCATATATGTGTATGCTAATAAAATCACTAACTTAATTTTTTAAAAATGTGCCTGTAGCTATATTATTGATTAGTTGAAAAATAAAATTTGTAAAGAAGTTTTTTTTTAACCTTGTGACCTTCCAATGAATTTAATTATAAGCTCCAGTTTTTATTTATAATTTGTGATCTTCAATTATTTATTAGTACTTTTAATTAAAGTTAAAAATAACTTGAAACTATGAATGGATAAAAGGTTTATTATCCATTAATGGAAAATATACCTGAACATAAAAAAAATAAGATGTTATCATAAGAGTTGGTCATTTCAATAATTCAGAATTTAAAATAATGTTTTGGGGTAGATTTTGAAAGAAATTATATAGGTTTTGAGGGCAGTCAAACCCTCTTCTCTCTTCACTGATTTCTCATCTTCAGGAGGTTAAAAATGAGGTTTTTTTTGCCAAATGTTTATTTTGCTTCTGAAGAAGAAAGATCTAATTCTTTTCAAAATCAACACAGTTTTATATAGAATTAATGCCAGAACTAAAGTTCCTTTTCTGGTGAATTTAAAAGTTTATATTAGCCTTTTTTTTTTTTCTTAATTATTATGATTAGTATTCATATTTAGAAAAAATTTAAAAAATGTATAGTACCTCTTAAACAACTGAAAAATTAACTACTTTAATAATTTTAGATTAATATTTTTAATATTAATGGAAATAATGATATGAATATCAAGTATGATTCTTGTGTCTTATTTTAGAACAAGTCTCACTGGACACGATACTGTGCAGCTGGTATGCATTTGATTTTCTATTATTAATTACATTATTTCTTTTAAAATTTTTGTTTACATTGCCTTTATAGTGAATACATAAACAGTATTTTTACAAATTTCCAGGGCTAAAGTGCATAATCCCCCACTTATTTGTTTGGCGCTTTTTACAAGATTAAGAAGAATTGGATTTTTGTCAATTTTCATTGACTTTTTAAATGAAAATTGTTCGATGTGTGCATGGATAAAGTCAAGGGAGTGCACAATGCCATTTTTGTGCAATTCTGGGATGTTTTTTTAAGTGAAACTAGGTCAATGTGTACATGGATACCGAATGTGCAATTCTTAAAAATGTGCCAAGCAGTGGGCGATTCTACACTTTCCCAGTGTTCCAGTTTTTTAGTAGTAAATACTAGCAAGTTTTAGTAGCAAGTTTGCAGGTAGATAGTTTTCCTTTTAACTTTATTGGGTACTTTTCCATTAAATGAGCATCACAAAATCATAAAATGTTTTTAATTATAACAGAATTAATAAATTTTAAATACATTCACTGCCACCTTCTCGTCTGTAGGTAATTTCCAGATTGATAAACTGATTTGCTATTTTTCTTTCTCCACCCCCTTGTAAAAACATGCTTTTTGTCAAGTAATGTATATGAATGTTTTATGCAGTTCTACAAAAGGTTGCAAACCATAACACGTGAATATTTGGCTCTTTCACTTTCAAAACCAGGGTGGCTCAGCTGATCACATTGTTGCTGTCTTTGACATGTTATCACACATTTTAGCAATGCTTTTTCATAGTGCCTATATAATGGAAAAGTATCCTTTGATTTTGGATAATGGAAGTATTGATTTTTTTATCTTGATTTTTAAACTTTTCTGTCGTTGAAAAAATTTTCTATTATTAGTGACAAAATGCAACTTTTTCCAAGATCCTTCTATGTTTATAATATTTTGTCATATTTTCTTTTCATAGAATGTATTTATAGGGCAATTTTGTATCATGTGCAGATTTAAGCAATGTTTAATGAAGACAATATACCTAATGATATATTTTTCTCATTTCTTTCATTTAGGCTCAAGGTCACTTTTTTTAATTAAGTTAAATAAGTAAGTATACATATACTTACATGTGTGATTGTGATTTTTGAAAATTGAATTAAAATATAAAATGCACTAATTTATAATGTGTAATTCACACAAACACTTTTTTGTGTCTGTGTGAATTTAAAAAATTAAGACAAAAGATATGATTCAATCCTTGTTAAACGCACACATATAAAATTAACACATGGAGCCTACTCTGTCTTTGCTATACATCATAGACTATGAATATGAACAAATCTTGTGATGCCACTGATACAAGGCCATAATTAATCAGATAATACTAAATTTTAAGAAGTTTGTACTAATAATATCTGAAATTCATAGTAATAATGGAGAACAGTGTGTCACAGGTACAGGTACAGGTACAGGGACTGAGGAGAGTAAAATAATAGCAGTCAAACCTGTTTTATTGAATATTACATGTCTGAATGATAAAGGCCAAAATATGTTAAATGAATGGACTAGGAAAAGCTTTAGTTACAAGTAGGATATTGTGGTACTGAAGAATCAGTCTTTTGCCAATCTGAGTTCAAGAAATGACAGGTCTTTTTTAAATCAATTAGTATGTTTTTATTTTGGTTCGTGGAAATCTGAATTAATAAGCGGCTGAGTTTATTAACCAGTGAGTTTAATAAACATTGAATATTGTACTTTAAGTGTATTACATAAATATACTTTAATAAAGTCATATAATTTTTTTTCACATTGAACATTCAAAGCTGAACAATAATTGAAAGTTTCTGCTAAAAATATTATATTGTTTATCCCTTCTCTAAAGCAATATATATATATATACCGTCTTTTTCTGAAAATAAGACATCCTCCGAGAATAAGCCCTATCGTGATTTTCGGAACTTTTTGTAAAATAAGAACTTTCCGAAAATAAGCCTATAATTTTTGGAACTTTTTATAATATAATTTGTTTTTGTATGTAATTCAGAATTTTATTTATGACGATGCTCCAGAAGAAGGTGACTGTAATTGAATAAATTTAAATTTCTGTATTCTGTGTAAAATAAATAAAAATATGTAAATATACTTTTATTTTTGCCCTCTTCCGAAAATAAGCCCTATCGCGTATTTTGGACTAAAAAAGAAAGTAAGACAGTGTCTTATTTTCGGAAAAAGACGGTATATATATATATTTTTAATTGAATGCCAAGCACCTTTCAGCATTGTCTACTCCTAAGGCCGGAAGTGGTGGTCATTTTATTGTCGAGGCACCTAATAGGCGGCCACTGTTATCTACTGTGAGAGGACAGACAATTTACATCCATGCCTTTCGCAGGATTCAAATCTGGGGCTGTGTGTATTGCATTTGGCTCTCGTAACCACTATACCATTTGTGCAGCAAGCAAGAAATATAGATGTTATTTTATTAACTGCTAAAAAATCTGGACTTTTCATATGAAAATGCACATCAAATTTTGCTTACAGTTTAATAGTTGATAAAAACCATGATATAGAAATAAGAAAATGTTTCTTTTTAAATTTTAAATAGATTTTTTTGTTTTACTTGATTACATAATTATTTACTTTATTTTTCAGCACATATTCTCCCTCTGTTATATTGTCTTCTAGGAACTTTGAAAGTTGCTGTTACATACACACAAGTCAAAATTTACGTATGTTTTATAATATTTTTATTTATTTATTTATTCATGATTTTCTTAATCAGTATTTTTATCTGTTCTTATGATGCTTTACATTTGAACCTAATTTTTGATATCTGATTCTAAAGATGCTTAACAAGGGAAACATATGATCTTTTTCTATTCATATTCATATAATTATAGATGACTTTAAAATATATGTATGAGTAAAGAAAGAGCATATGTCTTTCAAAATTAAGCAAGAAAATTGAGGCTTAATGTCTTAAGTAATATTCTGTTCTTGGTAGGAGCATTGTTAGTTTTATAGTATATAGCTGCAGAATTTAAGTTCTTAAATTCTGCTGTTGTAAATGTTTTCTTTCACTTGTTTTCTTAATGCATTTAATGTTATTTTATTGTAGAATAAAATTTAGGTGTTTATCTTCTTTAATGTCCTTATTAAGAGAAAATAGCATTGGTTTAGTTTGAGCATAAGAAGTGATGGAGAGTATAATAATAAAAAGAAACAAGTGTTCTTGTAAATGAGATTTTTCTCAGGAATAACTGAGATTCCTGCATTATCACTTTCAAACACCTGCTGGCTGGGAAATCACCACTGTGACCAATAACAATGCATTGATTGGCAGTGTATTGATTTTGTCTTTAATTACATTTTCAGCCTTTGAGCAGTTGTTGGAGGGGAGCAGAGTAGTCTCTTGAAACATTTGCCTCCCAGTGCTAAATTCAGCTACCCGGTACCTCCATAAATTCTAAAGAATTTTACTGCCATTAAACTTTAAAAATTACGCTATCTCTAATTTTTGGTGCTTGATGCTTCTAACAAGCAGGAAATTTCTCCTTTGTGGACCCTAAATTCAGACATGATGGGGCAGGAATTAGAATTTTTTTGTTTTTCTGTCTGACCTAAAAAGTAAGTGAAGCCAAAATATTGCCATGTCTACATATCACTATACTAGATTTAAACTGATGATCTAAAATCCAAAAATTTTCAAACTCCAAAATTACTGAAGTCCTGACTCTTTCGGATCTTGCACTCTGTTCTGTAATTACTTAATAACTATAAATAAATAAGACTAAAAGTAATACATTTGTCATCTGGGCAGCCGTAATATTTTCTAAGCTTCCAACAAAAAAATTTGAAGTTATATGTTGTTTCACATCAGCATATATGTCACTAGCTACATGTCTTAATTTTTGCTGTAAGTAGCAACTAGGTAAGTAATAACTATGTAAATTCTTAAGGCAATTCTGCAGGCAAATTTGTTTCTATGATGACAAAGACGATAGATATCATGCGATAGAGCTTTTCTCAAAATTTATACTTTTGGCCGGTGGCATTTAATAACAAGATTATGAAAAAGTCTTCTTTACTCATAATGAAATCACTCGGAAATATCGAGAAGTGGTATTGTTGTGGTAGATTTAGTGTTAATGAGGGTACATTATGAGGAGACATATCACATAAGAAATATGTTTATAAATACAACAACTGGTATAAAATTTTTTAATGAATTATAATCCTTTTAAGCCATTTTAGTTTTATAATATATTTTGGTGGGAAAATGGGAAGAATTAGGAATTTATTTAGGCAGACTCTTACAATTTTAAAACATCAGAACGTATGGACTTAAAAATCATTCAGAACTGCTAAACCATGCATACTTGCATATATACCCAATTAAATAATAGTAAAAAAAATGACTCCCAAGGCTTCATCTTAGGATTATCTTGATGAAGCAGACTGTTATGGTTAACAGTATTCTGCATGGAATGATTTTTTTGGGGCATATACATTAGTAATTATAGAATGTGATTATTATTTTTTTCTAAATTTGTAATTAATTTTTCTTTTAATGCAGTAGCTTAGTATTTTTTAGGTTCTCTCTGATTATCATTTCATCCCTGACAAGCATCACTGGGCAAAGCATTTTGTTGCCAAAGTAGGTAACCTAGAATTTTATAAAAATGTATTTATCTGGTAATCCACTAATGTTTGCACACACTAATGCCAGTGTGTATTATTGTGTGCTGTTTTCAAATAGGAGGGTCATGTTTATGGTTTCTGCTCTGAGATTTTTTCATGAAAATACCTTATTCTAAATTTGTGCAAATCTCTGGTGTTTTTTTTTTTTTTTTTTTTTTTTTTTTTTTTTAAAGTTTAAACAGATTGATGTGTACACGAAGAGCAGTGGCAAGTTGTTCTGCAGTGCAGAGAATTCTGTAATTCTCTAATATATTTTTTTTTAAGTTAAAACAGATCACTGTGCACATGGGAAGATGATAGGAAAAAAGAAAGTTAAAGATTTTATTATTGATATTTGTTACGTATCTAATTTAGTTAATTTGCTATTTTATGTAATTTTCAGTGTTTTATTGTGGATGTTTTTTACAGTTTTTTGTAATTTTTAGTGCACTGCTATTTTTTTAAATGGTTACTGTTTTTTGTGGTGTTAGGTTGGCGACAAATTTGTCACCAGTGATTTCTGACATTGCAGTAGGGTTTGGTGGATAATCAGAGAGTACCATTTTTTATAATTCAATAGGCTCTTACCTACTGAAGTATTCAGCGGTGGCAACAACTTGCTGAATAATCAAATTGCACAAATTATTCATATCAAGCAAAAGACTCTTTTTATCTGTATGTAGTTACTACATAAATAATATATTTTCTGCTTGTATTTATAGGAAATGAAATCAGAGAAATCAAAGTTCCACAGCTGGCAGAATCTCTAAGTGAAGGTGACATAAGATGGGATAAAGGTGAGAAAGATATAGCATGTAATTTCATTTCATTCATTCTTTTAGTCATTGCCAGATTCTGATGATGGACATAAGCTAATTTAAAATGCTTCAGGTAATGCATTGCTTAAATGTTTTTTTAGCATTTCCCCCTTTTTATTTGAATTAAATACCAAGTTTAATGTTGTACTAGAAAAGTATTCATTATTATGATATAAACAGTTTAAAAAAAATTAAATCATGCACCTTCTTTTAGTAATACTTTGCTTACTTTTAATTTTCAAGTTCTGCCAACTGATGCTTCAGAATGGAATTTCTTCAAAATGCAGCTACAATTGTCTGGATATCGTAAATAGTGCTAAATTGAACTTTTTTGAGCACCATTTTCAGTTTTGGAAGCTGAAAGTAGTTAGTGGAATACATTTCATGTGGGAAAGGAATTCAGAACTTAATTTTAGTAGCAGAAACTTGTGAATCATTGCTATCAAATGAACTGGAGTAAAAGATTGGCATGGTTCTTACAGGGTGGGACATAAAATGTATTTGAATGCACAAAATAGGCGGTCTAAAATATGTTTCCTGTGTTTCGTAAACTTTTCTACATGAAATTTTTATAAATAACTTCTTGTAAAATATATATATATATGTGTGTGTATTCTTGATTTGTCTAAATAGTATTAGGGGAGATATATATGTGTGTATTCTTGATTTGTGGAAATATTAGGGGGGGGGAATAAGGCTGCATCTGCTTGGACATACATCTGACTAAATAACTCCAGATATCCTTTTATGTCTTTGCATCAAAATATTATTATGGCTGGTACTGTTTATTATCAAATTATTATTAAAATTGTACTGTGCCAATTATTTTATTTCTTTAGTAATATGTGCCAAAGTATTATTAAAATTGACGAGTTCTCCAGAATGCTGTAAACCACCCTGCCGATAACCGAAATCATATTAGCACCATTTAGAATCATAGTCTTCTAAGATGATTTCTAATATACAGGGTGCATAAGAGAGTCCCTTTAACCTGAAAATTCTTGCAAATGGAGAGAGCTACAGCTATGCAAATAAAAGAATAATGTAGTAAAGCAACTATGCCCGACCTAATGCAAACAACAGCAGCGTTGCAAGTGGGAAAATTTGGAATATACACATTTCAAATCGAAAACAAAAAGAGGTAGAACAAAGTTTCCAATTAGAAAGTTTTAGAGCGTCAATTAATTAGTACGGAATGATATTTGGTTCACACGGATAACATAAATTGTCACCTGTATACCCAAGATACAGTCAATGCATTCCATTTTGTGTAAACATTTGAAAGGAATAGCTATAGGTATTAAGAAACACATACCTTTTTATTGAAAGGTACATAAAATACAAACTTACACTACAAGGCAGCAGATGGAATTGGATTACGGAATCGTGGAAACAACAGTGTGTGACATTCTAAAGCAAAAAGACAAACTAGTGAACTTTGCATCAATGTCGGACAGTGCTTCTGTAATGAAAACGCGAAAAACTTTGAAGGGTTCTACCTTTGATGAGCTAGACATGGCATTGACAGAGTGGTTAGCTCAAGTTCGAAAAGAGGGTACTCTTGTAAATGGTCCTATCATTGCGGCGAAGGCAAAAACCTTTTTTGAGTTGTTAGGCCTGAAAGAAAATTTTAATGCGTCTTCTGGCTGGTTGATAAGACTTCGGCTTTTTTAAGCAGCGACATGGAATTCAAAAAATTGGACTTCATGGGAAGAAACTTGGTGGTGACCAACAAGCAGCCGACGATTTCCACCATGAGTTTGAAGAATTTGTTTAAAAAAAAGAGCTATCTTTTGAACAAATTTACAATGCTGATGAATCGGGACTTTTGTGGAAATGTCTTCCCACTTTAGCATTTGAAAATGAAAGTAAAGCGGCGGGTCATAAAAGCAGCAAGGAAAGGATCACTATCACATAACGCTACTGGTGGACATAAACTTAGACTTGTTGTCATTGGAAAGTAAAAAAAAAAACAAAAAAGCCCGATCTTTCAAAGGCATAAGGATAGAAAATTTGCCTGTTAATTACTTTAACTAAAAAAAAGAATAGATGAACCGAAACATTTTTCAAGAATGGTTCGAAAACATCTTTTTCCTTCAAGTGCATAAACATGTTAAATAAAAAAAACCTGCCTGAAAAAGCTGTGCTGTTGATAGACAGCGCACCTTCTCACCCAGCAACACACATGCTAAAGTCTACTGATGGACAAATTTTCTCTTCCCCAACGTTACTGCACTAATCCAGCCCATGGAACAAGGAGTTGTTGCAACAATGAAGAGAACATATGGAACCAAGCTGCTAATGACCAAAATCGAAGAAGGTTATGATCTGAAAGAGTTTTGGAAACACTACACAATCTTGGACTGCATCTGGATGGGACTCGGTGAAACCGTCAACCCTCATAAAATCATGGAGAAAACTCATGCCTAATGTTGAAGCCAACAACAACCTGACCCCTTTGAGTTGTGAAGAAGAGAATGAAGATGTAGACATGCCCATGGCAACTCTTGCTGATATGGTGAAAACAGTTCCGGGTGGTGAGAACGTCGATGCTGAAAACATTAACGAGTGGTTGCAGTGTGACATCAACGAACCTGGCTTCGAACGCTTGACAGATGACGAAATTGTGAAGAAAGCAATGTGTAAGACAAATAATGAAGGACAGCCAAGAGAAGGCGAAGAATAGCCTACTGTGCAGATGCGGAAGACTCATGAAGCGGCTTTGCAACACGTCGACGGATTGCTGAGCTATATGGAAGAACAAAATGACGTGGAGTCGGCCGAGAAACTTATGCTACGAAAAATGCAATCTCAGATCAAGAGAAAATGCTTCCAAAGCAAGAAACAAACACAAATGACTGATTTCTTCAAAAAGGTGTAGTTTTACAGTTATGCTTTTGTAATTACATAACACATTACAGTATTAAAACAGTACATATGTATTAATTTTTCTGTGTGTCCTTCACGCCTCTCGTAATTATACAAAGCACTTTTCTGTTTTCATTAACAAAATGCATTTTAGGTTAGTTTTGGGTGATATACTAAAATATTAAGCATTAGTTAAACATTTTCTGCTGTTTATTTTACGTTTTATTGTGTATAAAATGATTTTCCAAAGTTGGAATGACTGTCTTCTTGCTGTATCCATTTTTAGCTTTTTTTCGGATTATCTGCGATTTTTGTTATTTGCGGTGGCTTCGCCACCCAATTCCGCGGATAATCGGGAGTGTACTGTAAAACTAAATTCTTAACATGTAAATAAAAAGCTGACTGCAATTCCCCCTGAAACTGTTTTCCTGCTGCTTATTTAAAAGAAACCATACAAAAGTATGGTTTCTTTTAAAATGATAAAAATCATGTTAATTGTATAAGTTAAATGCTCAGCGTGACCTTCACAGGTGGTTTGTCTTTTAATAAGAAAAAAACAACCACTAGGTGGATAAATAAATCCATTTTAAAATTCAAGGGACTTCACTTTTTAGATGCATTAGGAAGAGGAAAAGGAATCTGAGTATTTAAAAAATTTTCAAAACTTTGTCTTAAAATGTTAGGGAAGGGGGAATATACGAGAGGGAAATACCTGAATAAATACAGTTCAGTACAAAGTCTTTTATCGCCGGGACTTCGGTGATTCCGGATTTTTTTTTTTTTTTTTTTTTTTTTTTTTTCCGGATTATAGATCATCAATTTAAATCTGGTAAGATGGCATGCAGAAATTATAAAATAAAAATTATGAAACCATAATTTATGAAATAAAGAGCAATTATGATCTAAAGGGTATCAAAATTTACAAAAAAAAAAAAAAAAAGAAGCTTAATATTTGTTTACTTTATTAAACATTTCTTTCAATGTAAGTTGTTTAAGTTGCTTCATTTTATGTGCTAATATTTTTGCTTTAATTCTATAAACAGACATAATTTCTTGTTCAGTTACAAAGTTCCGCTTTTCAAACCCTGTAATTTCTGTGCCGAGAATACCGACTAACTTGTCAATCGAAATTTTTTCGTTTTCACTAACCTCTCTGTCAATTTTTTCATGCCTTTATCCATTTTTTGCAGCCACTCCACTTTTTGTTTGATAGACATAGAAACATGCTTTCGCTTTGTAGATCCTTTGGCAGCTCCAGAATCGGAAACTCTTTTTGACATAATCGAAAGTTCAAGCTTACTTTTTATAAAATTGCTCTAATAGTCTGCAAAAAAAAAAAAAAAAAAAAAAAAGTCGAATCCAATTAGAAGATTAAGGAACAATGCAATCTGCAACATTAACTGAAATAGATAATTAGGTAATTTTAGCCTAGCTTGTACCGTCCGTTATACATTAAACGCACATGCGTAAATGTATTATGTGCATGCGTAAAGGTATTATACGCATGCGTAAACGCTATGCATGTGCAGAAAGTTTGTATCTTATTCGAGGCTCGGATTATAGATCATTCCGGATTTTGGACGTCTGGATTAAAGACTTTGTACTGTATTTGCTTGTTTAGGTTATATCATCATAATCTTTTTTGGTTTCTTATGTGCAGAGTAGTTTTCATGAAATTTTGCACACACACACACATATTTGCAATTACAATTTACTATGAACTCCGATTTTTTTTAAATGAATGGATATTTTTTAAAATTTAGTAATGAAGTTTTTAAAAGTAATTAGTAATGAGTTTTTCATACATATCCTTTATTAATTAAAAAAGTATGCATGAAAGAATGATTACATTCCAGTTACTTCAAATTCTGATTTAAAATCTTTCATTTTAAGGAGTCCCATGATTTTATTTCAAGCAGTATAAGAAAAGTATTTTTGTATATTAACAAATTGACCTATTTCAAATTAACCTTATTCAATATTAACCTATTTCTTTTGGCATTTGTATTGCTTTTTTTTAATGTTTTGTTTAGAAATAAAAATATTTTTTTATTTAATGTAGAAAGGAGGATTGTATTGCTAGTATATATGTATATTTGTTTGTTTGTTTATTATTACATTGAGCAATTTTTGAAGTACATTGATATTTGCTTTTAGACATATTTTGTTATTTTCAGTTAAAAAAATGAAAACAGTTATTATATTGGAATTGTTTTTACAAATTCAGTTTGCTGTATCAAGTTTCAAAATTTATTATTTATTTGTAAAGGTTACTAGGTTTTGAAAAAAAAAAGTACTATTCGGTTTCGAGGGCCGTAAAAAATCGCCAAACTATTGTTGATGCCAATGCTGCCAAAAATAGTTGCAGCAAGAAAGGAAGTATAATAGTAAATAACTATCTAAGACTGATGTTTTAATTTAGATGAAAGGTTAACTTCATATAATACTTTTTATTATTATAATTTATATGAAAAGGCTAAACATGACTGAATGGGAGCAAAAGAGTAAATAACTATTTCAGATCATTATTATAATTTATATAAAAATTGCTTAACATAACTGAATGGATGCCTGCATTGCTATTTCGCTACCGACTTATCGTTAAAGCATAATTTCATCTCGTTGGTTGTTCAAACGTAATTTTCTATAACGAATGATGCCTTTTCTTTGAAAATATTCTCGGTAAAGTGCAGAATCGCTCACTTATTTGTTTGCTGCTTGTTTTACAAGGGTAAAAACAATTGGATTTTTGTCAATTTTCTTTTACTTTTTAAGTGAAAATAGGTTGATGTGTACATAGAAAAAGTCAAGTGTGTGCGCAGTGCCATTTTTGTGCAATTCTAGGATTTTTTTTTAAGTGAAAATAGGTCGATGTGCACATAGATACTGAGTATGTGCAATTCTTAAAAACGCATTTAACAGTGGGTAGATTCTGCACTTTACCCAAAATTCTATTGCCGCGTTTTCGTCATGGGCAATTCCTAAATTGTTAAATCCATAGGCTATCAAAAAAGGATTTAAAAATTAAACTATTATTTCAATGGCGTCTTAAGAAATATAGAACTACATAAACTTACGCAATCTGAAATCAGAGCGTACGCTACATTTGGCACGCTGTTAAATGGGCGCGTTTGTTAGATTTGGCGCTTTTGCGTGCACATTTTCGCTGCATTTTTTTTATGGCCCTCGAAACCAAATAGTACCAAAAAAAATATTAATTCCTATGAAATAGAAATTAAAAGTATTTAAATTTTATTCTTTTTGTTTTGGATGAAATAATTGTTATGCATATTTGCTGTTTTGTTATTTATACTTAATGGAATAGTATCTTATTACTTTGAGATTTTATTATTATATTAGTATATTTTAATTAATATATATTATTTAATTTTTATTATATATTTACTTATTATATTTAATAATATATTTTAATGTTTTTGGTAGCTGTTGGAGACCAAGTTGCTGAAGATGAAGTGATATGTGAAGTGGAAACTGATAAGGTAATCATTTAAGACTTTCAGAATATCAGTGTGTTGAATTAAAAATACAGATATTTCTTGGAAATAGGTATAGATTGTTCTTAATTGATGTATTGATAAAGTGTTCAAAGAACTTGGAGGTTAAATAGTTTGTTTATTTGATAATCTGTAAGTTTATTTTTCTACCAGTAAATGTGAAGAGTATAAAAACTTAAAAATATTTTCTATAGTAAATTATTACTTTTAATTTATAAACACAATTTTTCATATTTTAATTTTAGATTGGTCATAAGTTGTGATGACTGTAATAATATCAGAAAGATATTAAATGTAGTGTAGTTGTAATCTTATTAAAAATTAAATGTAATACTTTAAAAATGTTTAATTTTTTTAAGTGCATTGAATATAAAATATACTTTATCAAAAATTAAGGAAAATTAACTAAATTACTTTTTTTATAATATTTTAGAAAATAAAAATTTATCATCTTTACATGTTAAAACCATTTTAAGTTGTGTAATTCCAAATTTTCTGTTATGAACATTCGTTGGTACTTATGTATTAATGCAACCATCTTGTAGAAGTCATCAGAATTTTCAGAATATCCTATATGTCTGTAATGGGTATAAGAATTCTTAGTTTTAACAAGCAATGGCACCATTTTCATATTGATTTGAATGTTGTAGTCTGAACTCCAGTAATTTTTAAGCATGATTAGAGACAACAAATCATACTTTTATCTCATGTAAATTAAAATGTATGTTCATGAGATTTGCCTGTAGTGAAAGAAAATGAATTAAAATTTCTGCAGGAATGCAGTTGCCACAACATCACACAAGGGAACAATTGTTTTAAGCCTGTTCGTAAAGTGATAGCCTTAAAATTTCCATCACAACATAATAAGTAAAAAATTATCTATAAGTTTATTGATTGATTTTTCAGAATAAGTATTAATTAAAAATAAAACATGCATATAATAAATAATTCTTTACAATTAATTATGAGTCATGATTCTTTTTCTTCTAAAAAAATCACCAAATTATATGAAGGTAGTTGTGCTAATATTAATATTTAAGCACCCATTCTGTTATGATAATTCTCTTCTATACTTTGGAATCAGAAGTCTGTAATGTTAGCAATGTAACATGATGTTAAGTAAAATTAGTGTTTTTAAATATAAGTTTTTTAAATATACTTTTGAAAATTTGTGCTAGACATACAACATGCTTTGAGTTGCATTATAGTACATAATATATTTTAACTCCTTCACGCCGATTGTCACGTATACGTGCCAGCACCGAACACACTTACCTACCGGCCGACACGCAGGCGTGCCAGAGGATTGTTCCGTTCTCTACCGACTGTCACGTATTTGTGCCAGTACTTTGGAACGTTTTTCAAACTATAATTTCTGCCACAAAGATGGCACTGTATGTCCATATGGTTTCAGATACATGTAAATTAGACCGACCTACTCGAAATGAGAGAAGCATGACTCACATACACGTGTTTTTGATTATATAAACAAACGGGGAAATAAATGTTTCTGAATGGCGTGATTTATGACGTCTCTTTAAATCGCGCTTTATTCGCGCATGGTAGTTGTTTACTGTAAGTAGAGAAGTTTTATTTGCTCTAAAGCGTTGGGTATTTCAGTTTGCAATTCAGTTTTTAGAAAATAATTAGATCTTGTTAGACGTGAATTCTTTGTTTTTACCGTTGCAATGTCGAAGCGTAGAAAATGTTTAACAGAGCATGAAATAGCAGAAATGATGCAAAATATTTCAGATATTGATTCTGAAATTCTGATATTCTGATATTGATTCTGAAAGATTAAATGAAAGACATTTTCCAAAACTTTGTTCAGAAGAGACTGATAAGAAAATGAGACGACGATGCTTCGTTTGTTCTCATTCCCGGAAAAATCCTCCAAAACGGCAAATGAGTTATTACGAGTGCAAGGAATGTAACGTAGAACTGTGTGTAGATCCCTGTTTTAAAATTTTTCATACGAAAAGAGAATTTTAAGTAATATATTTAGTTTTCAAATGTATAATGTTAAAATTCATAAAATGGTGAGTAATTAAAATAAAATGTGTAAAATATGCATTTAAACAAGAAATAAGGTAATTAAAGTATATATATATAAATATTTATAAAGCCGTTTAAATACTCTATAGAGCATTATTAAACAATGCGTTGATACTTCGGAAATTTCATGGATTTAGGCTTAGTAGCAAAAAAGCCCTTGGCCCTGGAGAGACGCTCGCGTAAGACACTGACGGCCTCAGCGATAAGTGCGCGTTTTCGCTACCCGGCTCGAAGGGGTTAGTTAAATAGCTGTAGTATACGTGGAGAGATTGCAGTTCATGCATTTGGTGACTTCATAATTTGTCTTAAGCAACTTTTTAAACGTTTGATCTCATTTTCACTGAAAGCTGAGGTCTAAAGTTTCTTATCTGAGGCCATCTATCCTCTTCTACACTGCAAAAGAGTTGATGGTAGGTGTGATGACTGACTATTGAATTTATAATGCTTAGCAGGTAAATAAAATGTAGTTAGTATCACATATAGTAAAAAATATAAATCTGTATACTTTTTTTAGCGATTTTCAACAGCAAGTATAACTTAAACTGTTATATGTAATTTGGTTTGGCATTCTTGATTTTTACATAATAAATCATTTTTCTGTTAAGTTATGACCTTTTAATCACTGTTAAATTATGGTGGAAAATATGATTAAAAACTGGCGAGAATAAGTTAGATTATTTTGGTTTGGTACAAATCTGTTCATATAATTTATAGACAAAATACATAAAAAGTTTGACTTTTCAGAGGTGCTTCAGCTTTGAAACATTCCTATTTACTATTAATAGACCTTTTCAATGTAGTTTCTATTGTTGGAAGAAGTGCTGCAGTCCTATTTTAATTACTATCGGTTTTGTTCTCTTGGTCTTCTTTCTTTATTTTTTTGTTTTATAAATGCTGCCCTTGAAGCTCCATTTTGACTTTTGGAAAAGGGAAAATGTCACAGAGAGCTAGATCAATAGAACTAGCAGAATATTCAAGTTTATCCATGCCTCGCCAAAAGAGTAATTAAGATCACTGAATACTATTTTCTCAATCCGAGATCAATTCCAGGTGAACAGGCTGGCTGCATGGTTAGTTTTCAGGGTTTTCCCCCTATGTAATTTGAATACAAGCCAAATTTCTTTAGAAAATCATCTACAAATAGCAGATTCCCTTTAACAGATAGCCATTACTTGCTTTGCCATATTTGAATATAGCGTATAACCAAATCCATCAACTATAGTTGCACAATCTTAGTCATCTCAAGACATTCATGTAGAAAGTTGATTTTGTAGTCTGCCTTTTTTTGGGAGGGGGGCAGTGAATTCATAGAGCACTATTCTTTGAATGTTGAAAAAATTGACTGTAATTTTTGATTTTTTTATCTGCTTCTTCAAAATTTTTTTGCTCACAGAGTTCTTTAGTGTTCTCTTCTTTGCTCTATTGCTTTAATATTTGATCATATTTGCAAACTCAAGCTTCATCACCCACACCGAGAAAATCATTGCTTAATCGGTCAACACAGCATTCCTTCCATTACAAGTTTTGTTTAATTTCATCCAAAAATGTCCGTGCCATACATGTTGGGATGATTTTTGCATTCAGTTTTCTCATTCTTAATTTCATTGATTGAAATAGTCTAAACTGTCATTTTTTCAAAATTTAATTCTTCAAAAATCATTCTTTCACTTGTTAAACATGATGAGTAAAGTTTACATTGATGAGTGGAGTTAAAGCATCCTACACTCACATCATCAGTCATATCTTTCTTTTTTGAAATTTTTAACCCATTTGAATGATGCTGATCACTGCATTGCAATTTCATGTTACCGTATATTCTGCCTTCTGCCACATAATGCACACTTTCAGTACAGAAAATAAGATTGAAATTTGCAGGTGCGGCCTATACGCCGGTTATAAAAATGATAGATCTGAGACTAAGGAATGAGCATAAAAAAAATTTTGAGTTCTATATGTATCTAAATACTGCTTATTTAAAAGAAATGACATACTCTATGAACTTAAAAATTTTCATTACCGGATGACATGCTAAGTTCGTGCTTCATATTCGTCTTCTAACATGCTTCATATTCGTCTTCTGTTATATCATCAGGCGGGCACATCATCGAATTCTGTTTCATCTTCACAATCACTGTTACTCTGATCTGTAAATAGATAACCATCTTCTGTTCCATCTAGATTTTTAGATATACTGCCCTTTTTAAATGACTTTTGAATTATTTCTGGGTTAATTTCGTCCATGCTTTTATTATCTACTCACACACTATTTCTAAATGGCATGATGCATTTGTCAATTTTTTTTTTAAACATCCACATATTCCACTGTCGTTTTTAATTTTCTTTGAATGGATTATTGAGATACACCCGTCTAACAGGTTTCCATGCTATCGGAAAAAGTCAGGGAATTCTAAAATTGACTAAAAATTTTAGGTAAAATTCGGGGAATTTCGTATGGCAAGCCCCCCCCCAAAAAGCAAGCTTTGCGCCTTGTTGGAAGCGATCACTTTCTTGGCGAATTATATATTGCCTGAGCATCATTCAGCCAGCTGGCATAGAGCCAATTTTCGCAGCTTCAATTAGATTATCTTTTAGAAACACAAAGCAAGTTTCCAGGAACTTTGGTTTCCAGTAAACTCGAGAATTGAGAGACTCACATGCACATGTGCAGTGCGTGTAGAAAATGCATATTCTCGTATAAAACATTTTTTTTTTAAGTGTTCAGTGCCATGGAGATTAAAATAGCCTTCATGTATTCTATTCTATCTTTTTTATTAATGCCTTATTTGTCATTTTGCAGTAAAATAAAAAAATAGTAATCAGTCACCTAAGCTAACCATTTAATGTAACTATATTTGGCAAAATAATCGTTGATTATTCTAATTAAATTTTTAAGTATTTATCTTCATTTTAATGTTATTCGTATCATTTAATGTTGCTTCTTCTTTCTAAATTTATTTATCATTAGTAAATAATACTTTCAAATTTCAGTAAAGTTTCTCTGACATAATCCTGAAACTAATTTTAGCAGTAGGATGACATACCATCATGAAATTTAATGCACACATTTTTTGCTTATGTATGCTGCTAAATAAATGTAAAATACCTGAATTTATTGAAAAATATTATTAAATCAATTTCTTTCATAGCTTCACAATGTCTGGGGGAAAAAAACAAACAAACAAAAAAAAAAAAACGACATTTTTTAATTGACATTGTGCGGATTCTAATCTCAATCTTCTGTGAACAAAACAACTCCTATTATAGTTATATTATTGATGCTGTGGGGATGATATATCTTATATATATATAAGAGTGAAGTACATTTAACACGAAAATGCTAAAGATGAAATATTGGTTAATATGAAATAAATAATACAACGGTCCCGACAAACTACTATATATTTTCATGCATTTTGTTTCTCTTAACATGAAACAAAAATTGCTTAACACAAAAAGATATCCTTTCTGGGAATGAAAAAAACATGGAAAACACCAACTTCGCAGGCCAGATTTAACAGGGTTCACATGTTTTGTAGAAAGGAGGCTAACTTGGTTTTTAAATACTCTCAGAATAGCCTGAAACATGAGCCAGTTTTGCTTATTTAAACTGCTTTCACCTTCCACCCCCTACAAATGCCACACAAACATCTCATCCCTCATCAGTTGGCTTTGAAATTTAGTGACGAGTACATCACAGTGCGAGTGAAAATCTCTGAGTATGGTAATGTGTTGCACTCTGCATGTCTTTGTCTCTTCATATGTTGCACTCTGCATGGAATTCAGTGACTCCAAGGACGAATGAAAATTGTTTTCGTCATGCATGATAATCAAACGTATCAGATTCTTTGATACCAAAAGAAATGGAGAAGGAGGATATTGAAATTGAGCCGACACTTAATGAAATGCTTGAGAAAGTTTCTGTATTATTGGAGTGTCCTACTGTATTATGGGAAGAATTCATTGCAGTAGTTGATGATAATGTGTGTGCAGGCCTAATGATAATAGACAAAGACATTTTGGAGTTTGTTCAAAGATTAAAAAAAATCATTGATGTAGATTCCGATGACGAAAATGAAATGAATAATGCAGCTCTTTTTCGCATGTCATCTGGAATGAGGAACATCGTAAAGAGAATGCGCAGTTATTTAGACGCACATTTTCCAATGGTGAAATGAATAACAAAATGGACGACATTGAACATTTTGTTAACAATTTGATGCTAAAAAAGGCAATGCAAAAAAAAAAAAAAAAAAAAAAAAAATCAGATTATTTTCCAAAAACTCAATATAAATGTTTTGTTTTTCAAAAAACGTCAAAATTTGTATTAAATCTCATTAAGTTCTTGTTTCGTTGAGTTTTATTAAATACATGCATATATACATATCTATATAAATAAAATGCACTCTTATAAACCTAATTTTGTTGAATGTATGTTTTATTTTCAATATCCTTTAACACGAAAAAATATTTCAGCCCCCCAAGTTTCGTGTTAAACGATTTTCACTGTATATAATTGGCAGATTTTTGTGTTTTCAGGTGGTACCATAATTAATTTACCTCTTAGCACAGCCAATGTGCATTATGCAGATAAACTGGAATTTTCTTAAAAGACACCTGGAAAACCTTGAAATGTCAGGAAATTTCATTCTCCTGTTTGAGCGGCAACCCTGGTCTAACCCTGGCTGAACTAATGGCGTTAATCTGCCTGGAACAACTGCCATGTCAGCATTACATTCTTTCAATAATTCCTTCATGTTATTCATTATATGAGATCTGAACATGTCCCAGACTAAAGACTTTCTGGATTCTTTAAGGCAAAAAAATGCTTTTGCCTAACATTTCTTATCCACAGTTTCCCGCTATTTTTGTCCATCCATCTATTCTGGTGAATATGAATGAAAACACCATTTTTGAAATTATGTTTTAGCATCATCTTTCTTTTAAAGATAACCACGGGTTTCAATTTTGAGTCATCCAACTCAGCAGGAAAGCATTACGGTAAAGTGAGATCTTTCATGACCTGTTGTTTTTAAGTAAACTGTTTTTGTTTCTTTCGCATCAATTGTTTCATTTCCTATGATATCAAACATTACTGGATTTTCACCTGTATTTCCAGTATGTGACAGTAATTTTTTTTTTTTTCCCTTCGTAGGTCAATAATATACTTCTGAAAAGTAATCAGCATTTTTTATCTAACTCTTTCAGAAGCCTTTGCAAAACTTTACTTGTGGAACTAAATTATTCCATGCCGTAAATCTACTACACCAACTCAAAGTTGCTTTTGGCTTTGCATTTGAAACCAGCACTCTGTTTGTTTCTTTTCGCGGAAGCCATATTTACTACTAAAAGGAACTCTAGATCAACTGTATTTCAACTAAAGCAAATGAGATTTACTAAAGCCTTTGATTTTTCCTTCAAAATCATGCCTTCAAATGACTATAGAAAGCGAAAACGTCCAACTCCTAATTTCATGAATTCATTCAGATTAGAAATTCATTCTTACTCCTAGAAATTCTACAATAGCATTCTTTTGGACATTCACATTAAATACAATCCACCTTCTTTGCAGGAGTACTTACTCCCTCAGGCATTTAACCCACACACATATTATCGCTTGTCAATTCGGTATACCAATGTTGGAAAGGCTAGGACAAATCTTCAAATAAGTGACTCAAAAGATAAGAGCATTGCACATGTATCTTTCAGGTTTTTTTGTGAAGAATTGGGTGTGCATTATACAACGATATGTGTAAAAATTTTAAAATGTAGGTTGAAATTGTAGATACATGTTATACATCGATGCACATTATACGCAGGAAAATATTGTAATTTCTTACATGGTTAACATAATGCTCTCCATCTAATCCATGCACGAAAAATGTTTAATTAAAAGTATCGTTATTTGATTTATATATGTGTCACAGAAACCAAATATATTCTGAGGACAAAGAATTATCCAGTTTTACCACTCACCTTTCTTTCTGCATCACGCTAGTATTACCAAGTATAGAGAAACAATATCAGTCTGTTAATTTTCTAGACAGAATTCCATATTCAATGGTAAATAAAACTTCATGTAATTATGAATGTGTGGTATGTTTATATTATTTTTTTTATATTTTATCCATTAGACTTCAGTTCCTGTACATGCTCCTGTTGCAGGAATTATTGAAGAAATTCTTGTAGAAGATGGATCAACAGTTCAGCCAGGAATGAGTATTTGCAAGCTTAGAGTTGGAGGTATTTTTTATAAAATTATCTTTTATACATCGATTGAGATAGTTTTTGTGGCATCATTTTGTTATCTTGTTATTCATAATTTTAATTGTTCATGTTTTAAATCCTACAATATTATGTTTCAATACTTTGACAACATATGGTTGCAAAATGTTGCAATGTTGTATTTTGGAAACATAACTGATGTGGGGCCAAACAAATGTAGCTGTGTTTTATATTTAGTACAATGAATTCTATGCTAGTTAAGTAGATGGATTTTCACTGGATAGTTTAAACTCACTTCGATTACTCTCTTAGATAGTTTAAATTATATGAAAATTAATTTAGCAAATTAAAGGGTATATAATATTTTGTATTTATGTATTGTATAACTATAATAAGATTCATTTGTAATAACAATCTACTTTTAATCAAATGAGCACAAATTAATATTTTAAAAATTCAATATTAAAATCAAACATAATCATAAAATACAAGATCCTGGTTTACAAAAAGAGGAGAAAACATTAACAAAATCAGCACCTCCAGGTCAGATTTTTTTTTTTTAAAATAAATTTTAAATATTTTTCAAGCATTTGAATAAAAGTCACCAAAACATGCAGTCTTATCTTTGAGACAAGTAACTTTAATTCAAAATTAGTTTAAAATATAAAAATTATTATATCTGTGACTTTATGATATATATATGTATATATATATATAGGTTTTTAAGAACTTTTCCATCTTTATATTAGCTGGACAAGTGGCAGCTACTTCTAAAGAAGCAGCAACACCATCAGCACCTACAGAGAGTCCAGTTACACCACCTGTTGTAACACCTCCTGCCCCACAAGATAGCACTCCTATTCCTATAACACCACCACCAGTACCACCAAAGCCTTCTGCACCAATTTCATCTAAACCAGTTTCATCAATTAAAATACCTGTAACGCCAGTACCATTGCCACCTGGGCAAGCAGAGTCCACTATAACAGGAAGCAGAACAGAGCAGCGAGTAAGTTTACCATATTTTGCAGAAGAATTATCCAAACTGGGCATCTAAGCATTCTAATTTCAAGCTGAAACTGCAGATCAGAGCGGTTTATAACAGAAGTATTACATTTTCAAGAGGCAAAAAAAAGTGTGTATCGCTCTAGAAAGATTAGCTGTCATATGGCACAATCGCATCATAATTTATATTGAAAGAAATCCAGATTTCAATAAAGGTGAAATAGATAGTTAAAGTAAAAATAGCACACTGAATAAGGATTATTGGAAGTGTTATGGCAATGAGATTCAATTGAAATTTGCAGTGCTAATAAATAAGCCTAATGTCAAAACACACTTTTGAAATATTTCTTTTTTAAACTCTTATTAATCCTTGATATGCCAATTAAGGTTTGGAAAGAAACATATGAATTAACTGTTGTACCGGAATAGTGTTAAAACTGTTAATGCTGACATTAGAACATACAAAAAGGCTCAAAATAAATAAATAACAAAAAAAGTACTAAAGTATTCACCAGATAAAAACACAGATAATATTCTTTTCTCTAAAAGCTTTTTATTACGTATATTTTTTTTAAACTCTTCACAACATCATTATTTTAAAATTTTGGCCACTCATGCACAACTTGCCGCCCCAAAAAGAAGACATTAAAAAAACATAAATTTAAAAAATGCAAAAAATAGTAGCTATATTTTCTGTTTGAAATTTTTAGAGTATTGAAACTATCTTGTGATATTTCTCTATCCCCCTGAATTTTAAGTTTATCAGATCAACACTCTTTCAGTCAACAAAGAAAGGATAACATCCTCCCTGGTGTTTTAGTAAAATCAAAAGATCGCATTTCCCAGCTCAGATAAACTAATTAATCAATGCGATCATATAGTGTAACCCACTTAGAATTATTTTTCCTACTACTTAAGTTACCCAGGTTCGAATTAAGAAATAACTATGTTTTCCATAAGGATCACAAAACAATAATAAATAAATAAAAGACATTCATATAATATTCCAAAAGATTAACAATTTAAATAGCTGGCCAGACTACCCCTAAAAAACATTTTCTGAAAGTTACTCGTTATTTTTCATTTGACAATGTACAACGATCACTATTGTACCCCAGCTACTAGTTATGTAGTTTACTATAATTACACAATTTTTATTTTAATGTCATTTTTTAAAATTTTTCAAAAGGTCCACCAGCGGCCGTGCGGTAAAGCCGCTGAACACTGGTAGTACGGTTCGAGGTTCGAATCCCGCGAATGGGCTGGCTGCATGGGTGTTTTCGCGGTTTTCCGCATGTGTAACATGTATACGAGTTTGCCTTAGAAAGTCATCCACGAAGGCAAACCTCACCTTGGGCAGATAGCCCTTGAGGCTTTGCCGTAATTAAATAACCTAACATTTTTTTTAAATCCTGCTAAAATCATAATGAAACACCTCACAGTTATTAATCTTTCAAACGGATAATCAAGAATTTAAATAAACTGCTTGGTAAAATCTCACATTTATTCTCCCTTAATTTAAGTGATGACTCATGACAATTAAACATTTAAAAAATAAAATTCGTTCCCTCAAATTGGTTAAATCACTAGTAACAAATAAAACGAGTGTAAACAAAAATACATTCGCAGAATCCGCGTACACAACAGTCTAAGGGACTCGGGGTGCTGCGGGATCAAGTCATTAAATCGTCGAAAACATAAACAGCCAAAACTTCTTAGTTGTCAGAAAACCAGTACAAAAGTCTGTGCAAGGCATTAATGGGAAATACTTTTCTCATAGTTCAAGCACAGTACTCTATCGAAGAGCATTCTAACTCAGTATCAGCCTTCCCTTTTATTTCGAAGATCCTCAAGGAGGATAACGGCAAGCAAAAGACGACAACCTACTTTTCCATATTTTTATCAATAATCTGGATCTTCAGTTCGAGCATTTGAACTCAGTTTTCCACAAGGGAGAAAAGCATCAGCGATGAAATCAAAAGTAAAAGTTGCTGGTGAGGGATAATGCTGGACCTAGCCCCAACTCCACTAACACAGATGCAGACACGTGTCATGATGAAAATTTGCAACATGCTCAGACCAGTCCTGCAGCAACCAAACCTCGGGAGGCGGTAGCTGGCCCGCCCCAAGCGGCCGCCTGGCTAACTACGTTCCCTCCTCTCTTAAAAGCAGAAGAAGACTCGAAAATCTGCTAAACAAAATTTGCACCTGCCTCTCGTGCAACTATTTTTGAAAACTTGGCGACACTCAGACCGTCTCTAATTTCACAATTGGCTCAAAATAAGAATAAAATTCAAATTAACCAATCGTACACAAAACAGCAACCCTGTCTAACCACTAGAACAAAAGCAATAAATAGCCTCCAGGTTTTGAAGAAAAATTAGTCCCCTCTTTTACAGAGGCTGTTCACACATTATTAGACGATGTATATTGTATTCACAAAACTAAATTACATAAAATTCTTGTGTTTTTCTATTTGACATTCCTTATTCTGAACTATCTTTCGAAATCTTTTAAAAGTCCGAAAGCACAAAAATCCATAGGTGACACATCGGGAGATTTAGTAGGGATATCGGTGAAGGATATGGCCTTGATACCAGTTTTTTGTTCCATTTCTTTTAGGAAATTTACAGTGGATTTTGATGTGTGACTGTTAGCTTTGTTCTGATGGAGTTTTACAGATTCATGGCACTGTGGCTAAAGCGATGGTATTTCATTCAGAAAAATTGGCGATAAAATATGTTCCTGATAGTATTTGGAGTTAATGTTGACATTTTTTTTTGCACTCTCTTTATATTTAACTTGCCATTATAAGAAAAACCAGCAACAATCATGAATCCCTTAGAAAAACTTTCTTTCGATTCTTTGAACCATGTACTTAAATTTTTTTCTCCCCTTTTATGATAATAAATGGCTCTTTTTTGTTACAATCATTTAAATACACCCATGCTTCATCTATTGTGACAATTGTTTTCCATTTTTCTTTGGATAAGTGTTTCTCATATAGAATTCTGCAGTGTGTCCTGCATTAAGCGATATGCTTTGGAAGAAGATGATGCACATTGCGTTTTTTGCTTTCTTAAGATTTAAATCAATGTTTATCATTTTGTTTACAGTGGACACCAAGCATTTTAATGATTTTGCAACTGTCCTTTGACTAAGGGGATTTCTTTTAACATTAAACAATGTACCTTTGCAATAGTCGAAGATGTCCGTTTTTTCCTTGGATACTTGTTTAGAATTTTTGTCCCACTTGAGGTTCCAATTTGACATTTTTTCCCTGTTGATCGTATTACCTATTGACGCTTTAGATATCACAAAACCATGACTCTCACATCGTTTTTGGATAACGGAGTATGCGTATTTCTCTTCTGAAAGAGTGTAAATGTAGCCTTCGAACCACTGCTTTGTTAAATTTGCCATTTTGAATAAAAACAAAACTTTCAAACCACAGACAAAAATTTTGACTTTTAAAAACATAGTACAATTGCAATTACTTCTTTTGCAACAAACGATTTTTTATTACCGCTTACCAAAATCATCTAAAAAATGTGCGAACTGCCTCTGTAACGTGACATCCCGCTCAACATCAAGAATGTTTTCAATCGTAATTCAGTTAGTTGCGACACCAAGGTAATAAACATTTCACGCAGTTCTCTTCTTCAGAAGAAGCTGAAAATACTTTCTTGCCTCCCAAACAAACAAAACACGTGGTCAACCCCAAATATATCAAACTGTACTAAGAATTTTCTGCTAACAAAGAGCTTTACTGAAATCAAGTGAAAGAAGTTTAAACAATACTATATATTAAAAATTAATTCTCAAATATGAACATTAATATTTCACTATTCATTTAATATATTTATTAAGCTCTGTAAAATAATACATGATAATTCTACACAACAAATAGAGGCCATGCCATTGGCCAAGTAATTAAGACCGCTGAATGCTGAAAGTTCAAATTTGATTCCAATCAAATGGACTGATCACACAGTTGGTTTTTGTAGTTTTCCCCAAGTGTAATGAGAATACTACTCAATTTCTCTTAGAAACTCTTCCATGAAGGCATCCCTTCCTGTAGGCAGATAACCCTTTTGCCCTCTGAGGCATTCAAATACCCTAACCTAACTTACCTGAATAAAGAGCAAAGTATTCCTTTAGACTTCTGACAGAATGATTGGTGCAGGTCTGGGGGAATCTCTGCTAGCTTTCTTCGTTGATTGAAAGTGCATAAATAGGAAAGAAATTTACAGTCTATCCAATTATCCAAGTCTCAGTATATTCCAACTGGAATAGATCTTTAATTTATATAATTGGATTTTTTAGACAGCTGATTAGCACTTAATACTTTTTTTTAATTTTTAAGTGCATTTTATATTTTAAACTTTTAAATATATTCTTCTTATTTTTAAACATCCCTAACAAAACTATTCAAAAGCAAAATTCTTAAAAAACATATGTATTTTTTGTCAAGTATAGCAGAACAGTCAAAGTATCTTTAATACTTTGTTTTACTGTCTAATTGTATTTAAGTACTAATTTCATTTTTTAGTGTATATTAAATTTTCATTCTATATATCTGTATTTATATATCTATCTGTCTATGTATATATATATATAAGGAGATAATATAATCAATTAATCAATACGGTTTAGGAAATAAATTATTATTAACTAACATTGCAGCAATTGCGCAAGTAATAATAACTTGTATTCGCACTAAATGGATTTAAGTTCATACAACATTTGATATGCTAAATAGCAGCTATTAGCGCTATTTATCTCTTACCTAATGTACCCACTTTATATATATATATATATATATATATATGTTGTCTGGCGGAAATATCTGCCTATCTTTGTTATCTTGTGAAGAAAGTGCCTTGCCATGAGAAGATGAAAAAAATAGAACATTCTGCATGTATAGGTAGTCAAACTATTGTAGAACAATTCATTTAATTTTTACATAAAGAGAGGGTGATTTAAAATATAGGCCAGTGGTCTCAGACTCAAATTGCATGCAGGCTGAATGCAATATCTGAAAACAGCTGACAGGCCAGAATGATTTTTTAACAAAATAAAAATAAAAATTTTAAATAAATTTAAATGTCACTAATGTTTTTATCAAAACATATATAAACAATAGTAATAACATTGGCCACGAAAAAATTCAAATTTATATTTTCTGTGTAAAATCTAAAGTCTGGGAATGGTTTGTTGTTTACTTTTTGTAATTCAAATATATGGACAGCTAAATATTACATTTTCAGATTGACATTTATTGCAAATAATTCTTATATATTTAGTTAAACATTTAACTTTAATATAAGCTAAAATATATTTATATATATCCTTAATGACTAGGAAACTTGGCAGTTAAGATGGATAAAATTCCATTTTTATTTAAATTGATATTTGTGGTCACAAACCACTTGGTGCTAATCGTGTGTATGCAATAGAAAGTGAGCGTAGTGAAATTGCATCCAAGCAGCACACAGAGAGAAGCTAAAGTGCACAGTTATCTAATATGGAAGCTCACCAAGAGGAAGGTTTTGGTTTAGGTTAGAAAAGTTTCAGTTCTCGAAATTTTGAATTTAGGTTCCGAATCGGCTACGTCATAGTGTTACGCAAGCCATGCAAGATAGATTGATTTGGAAATAATGCAGAAATGCTATTAATTGTTTTTTAGAATAAAGAGGAAATACCCAAGTTAAAAATGAGGAGTTAAGAGGCTATTCTTAAATTAAATCATAAAGCTGATTTACATAATTTTTACCTTATCTATATAATTACAATACAATTTTTTTAAATCTAATATAATCATATCTAGTATTTTCGTGCATCAAGCTGCTGAAAAATACTAGTAAACACATAAAGTAAGAAATTCAGAGCCAATTTTATATTGACCAAAATATGACATTCATAAGTAATAAATTTTATAAAATCCAATAAATACAAAAAAGAATTTAATCGATGTTAAAACTAAAAATTTTAAACAAGTAATAGCCTACTTTAAAAAAATCAATGAAATTTAAAGAAAAGAACACAATTAGAAGAGGAATTCAATTTTCTTCATTAGGAGAAGGAACACTGAAATCAATTGAAATCTCTCTTTTCCTTGCTTTTCTGTATGAGAATTAGCCAATGAACCATCCCAATTTATTTCAGTTATGATAGTTCACCCGAAAATTCTGGCCCCTCTTCAAGGCAGGGTAAAAACAAAGTAAATTCTAAACATAATTCTACTTTTAAACAAAGAGTACTCAATCCAAAGAATTAAAACTGAAAATGAAATAATAAAATACTTTAATGTAAATTTCAAATCAAAATTTTACTTTTAAACAAAGAGAACTTATCCAAAAAATTGAAAATGTAAGTGAAATTACTAAATCCAAACGTAATTGAAATATACATCAGTATAAAAACTTCAAGAATTTTCAGTTAGAACCCTACCTAAATATGAAAAAAGATCTTTACAAGTAGTGATTTTTGGGTTTGCCAGTTTAATTTATTACTTATGAATTTCAAATTTTGGTCTTTGTAAAATTGGTTCTAAATTCCTTACTATGTCTTTACTCATATATATGAATAATTTTTTGAGAAAATTTTCTAAGTGTGACAAAACTTGAGAATAAATGATGAGAACCTATTCTATTTCTTTTCTGTATTAAATTTTTATTCAATGCATAAATAAGAAACACATATGTTTATATGTGAGTAATTATAATTTCTTCATTTTTTAGCACTTTCTTCTTTTTAGGCATTTTATATCCTGATAAAGTTTATTGCCTTAAAAATGAAATTAGTAAAAATTATCTTCTTCATTGCTTGTAAATGCTTATCCATCATTTGGGGTTTTTTCTTTCTTATTAATTTTTCAATTGAAATAAAGCTGTTTACATAAGCTGTTTAAATATAAATAAGCTGTTTAAGCTGTATAAATGTATTCCCAAACAAAGCGATTATTTTTAGGGCAAACATTTATAAAAGAGCTTGTGGTTGTTGCCATTGCTTGCTTTGGAAGAAATTGTGATTGCTTGCTTGAAGAAATTGTGTGCAGGAATACAGTATTTTGTCACAAAATTACTAAAAGAAACAATTATGTTTTACCTCTTCTTAAAGCTATCACCACAAAATTTTCACCAGAGCAAAAGGAGAGAAAAATCCAATATATGAATAGGTTTATTGATAGTTTTTTGGGACTACCTAGCCTGCTAAAAGATGAAATATCTCTGTATTATAATAGTAACATTTTTACAATTAGAAGATATTACTCTTTTCTGTAAAATTCGTCAAATTGCACGTAGGTTGTTGCACTAATACTTACGTACTGAAATCTATATCCTTAAATCTTTGAATAAGATTTATATCATATTGTAAATTAATTAGCTCCATTTATAGATTTTCTCATGTGTTATTGAAATTCATTTTTAATGATTATGAAATTAATATAAACTTGGATTTTAAATTAACAAAATCTTAAAATCAGTGTAAGAAATATATAATTGAAATACATCTGTGGCCGCATGAAATTGCTTCGGGGCCCGCCATTTTGAGAACACTGATATAGGATGTCAGAATGCTATACATGTACATGTTATATATTATAAAATATGATGAATATTAGTGGTATCTGCATTTTGAGTAGTGTTTTGCTGAACCCAACATGCTATAGATCCTGAATGTGTCTGAAATTATTCGTATGTAGCAGGATATTGTAGATTATGGAATGTTGATCTGAATTCATGATTCTTCATTTCAAAACAAACTCCTACCATGTGTGTGGGAATGTATTCAGCTAACATCCATATATTATAGATTTTTTATTGGTTTCAGATCAGGGATTTGAACTGACCCCCCCTAAAAAAAAAAAAAAAAAAAAACTTTTACACCTTGAAATGAAAGTCCATTTGAGCAGTGTGAAGGGAAGCATTATCCTATTTTTTAAAAATTGCATTTGATATACTTTGCAGTTGTTGCAGTGAAATGAGCTGCAGCACGCATCAGAATGATAGGGTGCCATTATTGAGACCTTAATATGACCGTTTACTATGTTTAGACCTTTCACTAAAGATAACAGGCTATTGGATTCGATACCACAATGGTTGATAAATGAAAGGGAGTATGTGAAAGGGTTTAAGGGGCAAGGATAGATTTTGAGCTTTGAGTTAACAGTGCTGTGCACTTCCACCCTACCAGCAGAACCTTCTTTCTGCCAGTAAGTCAGTTTACTTTGAATTTGAAGTATTGTGCATTGGTGTGCCTCTGCAGTTCACGTTTAAATTCTGAGCAGTCAGTGTGGTTGATTTTGATTATTTCCAGTTATCAATTTTTAATTAAATAAATTTATGTAAGTGTAATAACATCTTGCATCATATTACCAATTTATATTTTTCAGAAATATTTTTATGCCAGATAATTGATAATTTCGTCATAAAGAAATCTAGTTTTGAAATCATTGATGACAACATTAGCAACTAAAAAATTGAAGATGATGCAGAAAAGATAAAAATTCTGAAATCAACTCAAAATGCCAATCGTTTATACATTGAAGAATACTTAAAAGCTGGTCTAGAAATACAAGTTATCCAATTCCTCTTTTCATTGTATGTGGAAAGAAACTTTCCAGTACTGCATACATTAGTGTAGGAATTTATATCAAACATTTGCTAATATTTAGAAAACAATTTTAAATTATACAAACCTGATAAGCAGGATAATCATTTTAAATTATGCAAGAGTGATAAAGAGGATAATTGCTGTATTCCAGCATCACAGTTTATTAGAATAATTCTTTTTGATATTAGTTAGTATTATGTCAAAATATTTTTGCCATTTATCTGATCGTTTTAATTATTTCACATATTTGGTACTAAGGAACTGATTTTAATATTTTTTGCTTTGATTGCAGGTAAAAATGAATAGAATGAGACAGCGTATTGCACAGAGATTAAAAGAAGCACAAAATACATATGCTATGCTGACAACATTTAATGAAATTGATATGTCGTAAGTGTAATTTTTTCTCCATCTATGCGCATTTAGTTCATAATTGAGTGTTTTAAAACTAGTACATATTGAGTTTTTTTCTAATTATTTTAATAAGAATTTGTAGTGAAATATGGATATAATTATCGTTAAATGTAGAAAAAGCTGCAAATAATAAGTGTCACAAATAAAATTTGAAAAGTTGCCTTTAAACCAGGAAAGTTAAAAAAAGTTATCCATTTTTGAAGAACAGTAGGATGTAAAAGGATAAGAGTAATGAAATATATGTATGCAGTATAATAGTTTTTACAGTTCCTGTCTGAAGACAGTATAGATATTAAGAAATTTATAGAAGGATTAATTTTCATCAAGTATTATTCTATGTAATGTCCTTAAATTAATGTTAGATTTTTTTCTCCTTTGGAAATTTAATAGTCTCAATTTTAATACTATGGATTCTCGGTAAGTTAAACTTGATATGACTTGCAAAAAATGTTGTATTGTTGTAACTTTGGCTTTTATAGTAGAAGGGAATAAGGACATTGTAAAAGATTCGAATAACTTGAATTATCATGAGCTGAGTATATAACAAAATATATTTTATTAAAAATGCTCTCTTAGCATAGGTTGTTTCCATATGAACTAGGTTAAATCTAATGCATAATAAAAAATTTGAATGTAGAATTATTCAGTAGATGGTCATTATAAAGGTCAGTATCTTAGTGTAAGCATCAATTTAGAGGGACTGTCCAGAACACTGTTCTCAAAAATGTGTGTTTTTTTTTTTTTTTTTTTTTTTAAATCTTTAACTACACAGTAAAAGTAGCCATCACTTTTTTGTGATTATTTTATGAAAATTTCAGTTGTGATTTATGAAACATAGTTCATAATGTAGGAAAATGAGTGATTTGATAGAGTTTCAAGGAGGTAGATTTTTGGTGTGTCAGCATATAAAATTATTGGGAACATTAGTTATAAAATTACTGGGGATGTTGAGAGGTGCTGTGTTTGAAGTTATGAGAACATATAATATTGTAGGCAAAACATTGCCTGTGCAATCCAGTTGTGAAAAGAACATGAAACTTACTGACTGAATGAGAAAAATGTGAAAAAAGATTGCTGTGTCAAAAAGAACAGTTTGTGAAAAAAAGTGACTGCTGAGCTTAATAATATGTCTGCGAAGAACCCAATTTAGGCATGTAGAGTATGAAGGAAACCATGTAAGTGAAATATATATATATAGCAGAGTTGCTATTCCAAAATATTGATATGCAAATACACAAATATATGTAAAATGCAGTTTATAATGGTTTCATGAACATAAAACTTGGAATATGGTTGAACTGAAATAAGTATTTTCAAATGTGTCAACTTTCACTCTATATTCCCCTCAAGAACAAAAAAAAAAAGGGGGGGCAGAGGTTCTGTCAAAAAAGATGTTCTGCTGTTAGAAATGACCATAATAATACATAATAATGTTATTTTGTTTTATCCTTCTATCAGTTATAAAATATCTCAGATTCTCCAGAAATTCAACTTGAAGATCAATTTTTTGCATGTCAAAATTTATTTATCAATTTTTAAAGAACCCATTTCTAATTTTAACTCTTGGGGAATTGGTAGCTTATTTTATCAGTGGGGTTTGTCATATATTGGCCTAACTAAACAAGCATTAAATTTTCACATTAAGGAACAACACATATCTTATGTTTTAAAAGGTGAAATAAATCTTTGATAACTAATAACAGCTGCATGCTTGATCACAATTTTGATTTTGACTCTATAAAGATTATCCATAAATTTCTTCAGTTGGTGAATTAGATTTCCTTGCTGTTTCACATTCACTAAAAATTATCTGATATCATCGAAGACATTAACCTTCCAATATGTGTATGTTGTATTTTTTACGACAGCTGTTATTTTACCCGTTTTTGGCACAAAAAAGGACAGGTTAAAAATATAAATTAAAGGAATACAAGTCAATTAATAACACAAAATTACAAAACACCTGAGAATAAAATATTTTCTGAATTTTCACCCACAAACACAAGCAAATTGTAACTTTTACGAAGAAGCTGCCATGTAGCACAAAAGCCCAGTTTAAAAAAAAAGTCATGTTACTTCCTGTTGGCACATTCCATGGTGTGGAGAAGGTTTGAAAGGAGGAATAGATATCACTTTCACATGTCCCAGCTGCAATATGTTCACATGTCCCAGCTGCAATATGGGAAAAAAGTGCATTAAAAACCGTTTTTGTCATGATCTTTGCACATGACACGCCTACTGGAAGGTTAATTCTAATCTAGTCTTTTCTAATGCTTTCAAAATTTGCACATCTTAATTTTTCACATTTCATAACTCTTTTTCTCTATAAATGTTGAAATGCTTTCGATATAAATCGGTTATTGCTCATGCCATTTTGCAAAAATTAATTTGCACCTGAAGAACAGGAACCTAGGTTTGATCACCCTTAAAATTGATAGAGTCTTGATCAAATCTCTGCATATCTATGGTTTTTTTTGGTTTTTCATAATCTCAAGCCTTATGTATTCTGTATTTACTTAAGTATTCCCCCCACCCCAATTTTTTACTTATTTTATCATACAAAATTCTAGAGGGGAAAATTATGCAAACTTAATTTCCAAAGGACATGTTTTCAGCAAGAACAAAATAAATGAAAAGTATTTATGGATAAACTATTGGTAACTATCACAATATTATTTCCTTAAAATAAGCCTACACTGTAACAAGCATGTATAGTAATATTAACATTACATTACTTTATATGAACATTTCATTTCTACTTCAGTGTGTCTTAAATCTAGCCACTTTCTTCTTATTCGCTGCTACTCCTTAGGTCTGTAATTTATTATTGCCAGATCTCTTGTATGTGCCATCTGCTATTGCTTGTGTGTTGTTGGCATTGTCACCATTGTCACCATTGTCAGTGTCTTCATCACCATTCACTCTGTCTTCCCTTACAGAGATTTTCAAAAGTTCATTATATATTTCTGTTTTCTTGAAGTTTTCTGAGTTATTTCTCCATCAGCCAGAGCCCATGCAGCTAAAATCCACAAGGAAATTAGATGAAATCAGTCACTAGTGGACGAATCCATTTTAACCACTTCGCTGTCCCCACCCCAAACACAGACTCATCACTTTGAAAAGTGTCAACAGTAGCTTTGAATCCTAACACAACATATATACAGAGGTTATTCAAAATTAGAAGAACAAACTTTTAGGAGGGGTAGGGTATATCTAGATGACTTGTAGTCCCAGAGCTATGCAGGGTCGGAAATGCAGTCCAAACGAGATACGGGAGGTTGTTGTCGACAGCTACCAGGAAAAGTTAGGATGGAAAATATGAATATATTGTAATTGCAAATTGACATTCGAAGATCATAAGCTTTAAGTAAATCATGACAATTTTTATGAAAGTTGCAGAAGTTTCATAACATAGGCATCCCATGGAATCTCGGTTGGTTTGAAATATGGCAGGCATCTGTCAAACATTGGCTGGACATTTGCCACTGGTTACAGTGCAAATTTGCTATGTCTGTTTGGGTGTCGTTCAGCATACAATCAAGCCTCTCTGTTACAATGACCGTAAGAATACACAACTGCAAGTCTGCCATTTCCTTGTTCCTAAATTGTTTTATGCACTTCGTACATAATCAGAACATGAAATGACTAACGCTGCATTCCAGCTACAGCTCTGGTGAACAGCAGTCTCAAGCAGGTAATCAGCATCCTCAAACATTCTAAACTGTATATTCTAAGAACCAGGTACGTAGCCAAAACACTTTGAGCAACTTCAGTATTGGGAAGGTCATGATTTATTTTAAGCTTATGGTGTCTAGTTTAAGTGCCAATTTATGACGACGACGTATTCATGTTTTCTATCCTAATATTTCTGCGATGGCTTTTGTCGGTTTTCCTGCGACAGCCTCTAATATACCCTCTATCTCATTAGGATTGCATTTCTGACCCTGCATTGCCATGGGATTCTGAGTCATCTAGGTCTACATTACCTCTTGTAAAAGTTTTTTCTCTAGTTTTTAATCTCTCTGTATATACATATTTTACACAATTATTTGGGTATTGAATCATTGATCTTTTTATATTATTTAAATTATTAAAATCATTCAAAATTACTGATGACACTTTTCAAATTGACTAGTCTCTCACAAGAAACGCTGTGGTAGTATTTAAAACTTTGAGAAGCTCTCTTTCCAGACTCCTTGAGAAAGGAGAAAATCCTGTGAACATTAAAAAAAATTTGAGAACCCTGTGCTTAAGAAGGGGGATATGCAAACAAGTGCAGCATACCTGCTGCTACCATTATGTTAGTATACAAACTTTAAAATTTAATGCCATCACATTTTAGAGTGTTTGTAAATTAAGATGCATGATTATCTTATACAGACCATGCATTTGTATGCCATGATTTCTATGCAAATAAAAATCACAAAATAATAAGACACTAAAAATACAAACTTATAGCTTTATATATTAAGTATTTCCTAGTGGAGTAATTCCGTTGGAATAAAATATAATTTGTTATTACACAGATTCATGTTAACACAATAAAACTGCAGAAAAAAATAATTTAAAATACTCTAATGTTTTATTTTTATTAATCTATTTATATCTATCTTTTCTTTTGCAGAAACATCATTGAAATGAGAAATCTACACAAAGATGCTTTTCTTAAGAAACATAATATAAAATTAGGCTTCATGTCTGCTTTTGTGAAAGCTTCTGCATATGCATTACAGGATCAGCCAGTTGTTAATGCTGGTAAGAAACTGGAAAAATATTTCTATAATCCTTCCTCTCATAGATGTTTCTTAACCTTCCAAACATTAAGGGTTTGGCCCTAAAACCTAAAGTTTCCCAAAATGCCATGAATAAGTGGTGTTTTCATGATAATAATTCCAAAATGACACACTTTGTACCTTTTCTACCAATGTACATCTGACCGGAAATTGAATCCATCAGGAGCTGGCAGAATTTTTCATGTGTAACAAATTGGAAGGCCATCTTTCTATGTTGAATTTTATGCCCACAACCTTTGGGGGTTTAAATAAACAATACTTGCAATTTATAGAAATGTGTAATAATTTATAACTGATTAATTTGATATTGTTAGAGGTTTTAGGATGGAAAATATGAATACGTCGTGATCACAAATTAATATTTTAAATAGCATAAGCTTAAAATAAGTCGTGACCTTACCAATTACCTGGTGAAAATAGGATATAAGAGGAGGGAATTTAAATGCTGAGTATTTGAAAGGTGAGCATTGCTTCTGTTCTTAAGTTTACGACTTGGAAAATGCAGCCATTTAATAGTACTAAAAGATGTGCTAATTCCTGAACACATGCTTAATTGCTGGCTGCAATAAAAAGCATAAGTCTACAACAGTGGTTATGAACCTGTTTTGCCCCATGCACCTCTTTCACCGTTCATTCATCCTCCATCTCCTTTCCAAAACACAAAAAAAATACATATATGCTTATTTAAATTTAGATTATTTTTATGTTTTGGAAAGGAGATATGGAAGGAATGAATGGTGAAATAATAAGAACAGCAGTACCATGCATAATCTGGATTCATGGTTTGGTTTGAAAATTTCAAAGCAAACTAAATTTTAACTGAGCAAAATAAAAATAAATTCTAAAAAATTATTTTTTATATTATAAATGATCAGTTTTTCTCTTTTTATGCAGTTGACTATTTTATTGTGCAGTTTTCAAATTAAGATGTAATCCATATTTAAATTTTTTTCTGGGATTCCCATTGCTTGTGTGTACTTGCAAAACAGGGTGAGAACCACTGTCTACTGACTTATGTGTTTATTGCGGCCAGCAATTGAGCATTTTTCAGGAATTAGCACATCTTTTAGTACTATTAAATGGCTGCATTTTCCAAGTCATAAACTTAAGAAGTAAAATTCTCACCTTTCAAATATTCAGCATTTAAATTCTCCCCTCTTATATCCTGTTTTCACTAGGTAATTGGTTAAAAGTTGCAATTTGGTGGAAACTTAACGAATGGGTGTTATGGTTTGGTAATAACTGGTAGAACTAAAATTGGATATTTCCAACTCTAAATTTCAAAATTTTGTTTGCATGTGAATTTGAAATATTAAATATCACCAGTTTTGAAAAATTTAGTATTCTTTATATTGAACATACTTAAATGATTACTGACCTTAAATGATCACATGAAATATTACACTAATATTGTAATATTTAACTAACATGAAACAATTTTAATTTGGTATTTGCAACTTTATTTATATATTAATCCATTTTATTTCAGTGATAGATGAAGGAGAAATAGTTTATAGGGATTATATTGATATTAGTGTGGCAGTGGCAACACCAAAAGTAAGCAGGACATAATTTATTTTAAATAATCATTTTGTTATATTTCTGTACTAACTATGCTTAATACTTTAATAGGGCCTTGTTGTACCTGTCATTCGTAATCTTGAAAAAATGAACTTTGCAGATATTGAGAAAGCTATTCATGCATTAGGAGAAAAGGTAGTATGTCTGAAAGTACCTTTTTTATGAAATTAACTGCATCTTGTTTCTTTTAGTATGAGTTGTGTTTGCTGATGCTTACTCTGATTTTTTTATTAATGGTAAAAATTGACATTTTTAGTCCTATTAAAATTGTGTAATTGACTTTTTTAGTTCACAAAAAACAAAAAAAATGTCATCATATAAAGCAAGTAGTAAAGACTCCTTTGCTCTTCTTTATTTTTATTACATAGATGATAAACAATTTGAGGATTGAAAACCATTTTCTCATATCATTAATGTGTTTCCTTAGCCACTGCTATAATCATATTTATGTTCTACAATATGTGTAATTTATATGAGATAATAAGTACATCAATACTTTGCATAGTCTGGCTTCCCATTGCCTGTGTGTACTTCAAGCTGTTTGTTCCTGAGCTCTGGCATTTATCACTGCAGGAAGATAGGAGAACACTATTGAGGCATGCTTCTTATTGGCTTTTATCTTGGTTTAGCAGCCACTGTATCTTTAACATATAAGCTGTGTAGCTTATGTAAGCAGTGTAACATTTTAAAATTTTATTGTTGAATTAATTTCTGTCTATCAGTTTCCAATCTGCAGATCTATAGAAAGTCCATTTGTGATAATTAAATTTTAATACTCATTAAAAAAATATGAGTATAAAAAGAAAATGTGAAAGTGATTATGCCACAAAGAAATATAAATGGCTCACTTTAGAACAGAAACTTGATGTAATCAAGCATCATGAACAAGATACATCATTTGCTAAAATAGGGTGTTAAAAGGACAAACGAGTCATCAGTTTGAAAACTTCTCACATAAAATGATACGAGGGTAAGTTAAAAAATAAGTTTCCCCTGTTGACTGTGGTCAGAGTTGTGTATGAAAGTCAAAAAATAGAATGAGACATTAAAGATATGACATACCTTTATTTTATTATTCTCGTACGAGTACGTTGAGACGTTTTTCATATTGCGTAATAAGCTTCAAAAAGTCCTCCAAGAAAAGTTCACGCTTTGCATATGGAAGAAGCGTTAAACGGCTATGGGCGAAAGGCGACACAGCAGGAAAATGCGCAAGTCACCGATACACCATTGGGTAGAGTTCGCTGCAAATCAAGCAGATGGCACTGTTGCAGTGCCTGCGCAAAGCGGAGACCAGCCTCTCATTTGATCCCCGGTAGGTATGGAGAGAAGGTGCGTTTTGAATTCGTGGTCAAAGGAGGAAGTGATAGCGATTATCCGCTATGAATGGGCACGTGGAGTATCAGGAACAGAAATTCATAACCGCCTCGTGGAAGTCTATGGGCCAGGTGTGATGTCGAAGTAAATGGTGCGGAGATGATGTCCCACATTCAGTGATGGACGTCAGCAAGTGGAGGACATACCGAGAGCTGGACGGACGTGCACGGCCACTACATATGCAAATGTCAGGAAGGTGGATGACATGATTAGAGCGAACCGGCGTATCACCATCGATGAAGTAGCGGAAGAACTTGGAATCTCACATGAGCGAGCTCAAAACATCGTCCACGACATTCTTTGATACAGAAAAGTGTCAGCACGATGGGTGCCCCGACAATTGACCTCGACACACAAGGAACAACGCATGGGGGTCAGCCCGGAGCATCTCGTGCGTTACCATGAAGATGGCGATTAACTTTCTGTTTCGGATTGTTACGTGGGATGAAATGTGGGTCCATCATTTCACGCCAGAATCGAAAGCCGCATCTATGGAGTGGAAACATCTGTCATCACCTGTCCAAAAGAAGTTCAAGACAACTCCCTCTGCAGGTAAAGTGCTCCTCACAGTTTTCTGGGACTCCCAAGGAGTTTTGTTGCTGGACTTTTTGGAGGTTGGAACCATCAATGCTACGCACTACTGTGACACCCTGTCGAAATTGAAAGAGGCGATTCGGAAAAAGCGGTCTGGCCTTCTCACATCTGGCGTTCTGCTGTTGGATGACAATGCCAAACGCAAAACTGTATTGCAACTCTTGGTTGGGAGTGCCTATATACCATCCGCCATACAGTCTTGATCTCGCACCAAGCGACTTCCATCTGTTTCTGGGTTTGAAGAAAAATCTCGGGGGAAGGCGCTTTGGAAGCAATACTGAAGTGAAACAAGCCGTTCAACGCTTCTTCCATATGCAAAGCCCTGATTTTTTCCTGGAGGGCTTTTTGAAGCTTATCAAGTGATATGACAAATATTTCAATGTACTTGGTACCTATGTGGAAAAATAAAGGTATGTCATATCTTTAATGTCTCATTCTATTTTTTGACTTTCATACACAACTCTGACCACAGTTGACAGGGAAAACTTATTTTTCAACTTACCCTCGTATATACAAACACAGGGTATGGCTATGACTTCTTATTCATCAAAAGGAATGACTAAAACCAGAAGCAAACCAAATAGTGAATATGGAGCAGCTTATTATCCATATGGATCAAAGACTTAAATAAAAAATGAATTCCTCATAATGAAATAGAAGTTCAACATGAAGTCTTTTCAGCGATTTGAAGACTATTGATAGTAGAAAGTAAAAGCATGAAAATTAAAAATAGTTTTTCTCTCAAGTTGAGGATGTTTATTTTCATTTTAAGCAAAAAAACTCGTAATTTTTGAAGTGTTAGTGAATATGCCCGAGTTGATAAAGAATGCATGAAAAGTGTAGATAAAAATGCGTGAATATGCCAGTGTTTCAATGTGTTAGAAAGAATGGAGTGTAATCATATTGAAAAATGAAGAAATAGTTAACATTCATGAAGCCAGTTTATTCTGAGAAAAAAGTGTAGTCATGTACTTTTTGTAGAGGTTAATGCAGTGGATATAAAATTCCCAAACAGGATGCTGCACTGTTGTAACATAAAAGTGCCTCATGGGATTTCAAAATAAAACTAGTGCTTATTGTGGGTCAAAAAGCAGTATTTGAAGCTTGGTTCACTAAATATTTTTGGATTACTATAGAACATTGTTGCAGAGGAATTTAATTAGATTTTAAAGTTTATAGGTTATAGATGTGTTCCAAATCTTCCAGTTCATCATTGTGATTTAAACGAAAATGTACAAATGACATTTCCCCCCCTCCAAATATAATGTAGTTGATCCAATCAAGGAATCAAGGTGCCATTGCAAAATTTAGTGCTACATCCTATTTTTTTTAAGCCATAAGAGCTAGGACATGAAAAAATGTATTTGTTCAAGACAACAGTATGGAAATATATCATATTATGTTGTGCAAATAATTTCATCAGTTATGAAATACATTTGGCTTGTATTGCAGTGCTTTTGTGAAATTTAATAGCTGAGCAACTGTAAAAAATTTTTTGAGTGGTTGAAATCTTGTAAGACATAGTATAGGAGTTGATCCTAACACTGAGCATAGCCTTTAAATTCGCCAAATTATAAACAATACTACAAAGAAATATTTGAGGAGAAACAGACAAAGAAGAAAAATGTCCAGATATCAGTATTGCAGTTTTTAGAGAATGAAAAAGAATAACAAATATGCTTTTTAAAAATTATGTATAATAAAGACATTTGAATATGTTGTGATTTATTTATTAAAAACAGGGAGAAATATTTTTTTATTGCTAGTTATCAATTTTTGAATGTTATTTAGTTCTTTAATTTGCCCTCTTTCAAACAATCTGCTATATTGGCAGAATCAGTTACTCATACTATAGAAGGTATTGATGTATTTGTTACGCAGTTTAAGTACTTGAATGACACCAAATTCGGATATTGTAGGCACGCACGGGATCACTAGCAATAGAAGATATGGATGGAGGTACATTCACTATTAGTAATGGAGGAGTATTTGGATCACTTTATGGAACTCCAATTATTAATCCCCCACAGTCAGCAATTCTTGGTATGCATGCTATAGTAGAAAGGCCAGTGGCAATTAAGGGAAAGGTATTTTTTAAATTATATTAATAATAGTTCTTTCTCTTTGTGTGATTGTATTATTTATTTTATAAGTGAAACAAATTATAATTTTTCAGCATTGTATCATACATATTTTAAAAAATTTTAAGCATTATTCATAAGATTTATAATGTAGTTCAAATTTACAAGAGATGTGACTGAAATTTTCTTAATGATAGGATAACAAACACAAATGTAGTATATTATTCTTTTTTGTGAATGAAGGAGTGTACACGTTTTTAGAGTGATTTCAGGGCCATTTAATTAATGTTTAAAATGTAAAGAGTATTTTTTAAATGTTCGAGCTGATAGCCTTTTTTCTGGACTGTAAGTCTGCATTGTGATTTCCATGATAAAAGGGCTTTTCTAAAATTTCCAGGTGTATTGATTTCCATTCCTCTTCCACTACTTTTCAGAATTCCTCAATCATAGTGGGTTTGCACTCAGAATGATCTCTTTTCAAGAGACTAGAGGCACAATAGTCCATAGATGGAATTTCATAGGACTTTGCAGGAATATATTGAAAAGACATATGTAATACCTACAGTCTTCATTTTTTCAAGGAATACAGTTGTACTTTCCAGAATATAACCAGCTGCTTTGACTTGATGAAATTGCACTTTTTAAAAGTCACTGGAATAAAGAAATATTCTAGTATATATATATATATTGGATGTAAAGCTTTCCCTTGAAAGGACATTGAGTTGATTTTAGTATTTTTTCCCCTCTCTTTGTTATTAAGTTCCAGTTGTAAGAGAATCCTAAAACAGTCATAAACCTCATATTAAAGCTTCTTTGCGTTGCTGGAACCAGATTTGTACATATTTTTCTTTTTGTTTTTTATAACGAGTTGACCTTTTTTTGTTGCAAACATTTAGGCAAATTCCATGCTTCATCAAGTGTCACAATGTATTTCTATTTATCTTCTTATAGTTTTTAACACGGTTCTGAAAATTATTCTGCAGTGAGCCACATGCCTTGGCAAAACTGGTGAACATATTACTTAGCTTTTTTAAGTTGTAAGTCTTGGTTTATTAGCCCAACGGGACAATTTGCCCATGCCCAGAAGGGCTATATTTCATTTTGTGTTGTTCACTATAAAATGGCGTTTCACTTTTCAAATTGTTACCACCAAATATTAGAGCCCTGCGTTATATTTAAATAAATTAAATAATGAAGAATTTGCATGAATGTATGTGTGTTTTCTCGCATTGTGGAAAACAACAGTACCTAGAGACATCAAATTTTGAATAAGGTAGTCCTCCACTCGAGTATGGGCATCTGGAAGCCCAGATTTCGAATTTGTTTTATTATCTATTTCATATTTTGTAACACTTTAACGAATTTTTGATTAACAAACTCAATTATTTCAAAGCGAGCAATGGCAACACTATATGGAATAAAAAAACATTTTTATCTTCAGCACACAAGACTGTGTATTGGAAATTCTATAGATTCTACAGAAGTATTTAAAGACTGCAATTGATAGCTGTACTGGCAGTACCAGTGATTAAACTTTAGAAGCATTAGAAACAATACATACTTACCTTTTTCCTGTCCAGGTTTGGAAGCTTCTTTTGATGTAGAAATAATGATTAAAGGTTTCATATTAATAATGTTGCTCATTTTGCACTTGGAAATTTTAATATTATGCATTTCACAATGCTTCTGAATTATGAATAAAAATATCTCACTTCAGAAAACGCAAATACATATCTTTAAATTCACAGCTTGTTTACAAGCGATATTTTGAAAGAAGAATAAATTTTAAATTCTCATACGATATTTCTCATTTCAAATAATAAGCTGTTGCCATAAATCTTTATTCTGAAACATTTGCTTTTTTTTTTTTTCAGTTCTTTAGAAATTGTTCTAAAAATGTGCAAACACCCTCTGTATGATGTACAATACAGCTAAAATCTAAATTGTTTTCCTTTCTAAGCCTAACAAAAATGGTTTTATTTTGCTAGAGATTGTTACGTAACTTTTATAAACCAAAATAATTTTAAAAAAATTTCAAATGGTGCATTTAAGTATTAAGTTTCCTGTGTTTGTGAATCTAATGGGAAATATTCTTTACATAAAGATGTATATATATAACTATAGTATTATTGATTATATATTAATCTTTTGTATAATCTGGAATTTTTTTTTTTTTTTTTCACAAAAAATGTTGAGAATGAGTGTTTTCAAAGTGAATGATCTTAAAATCTATGCACAAAATTTAATTATCCTAAATCCTCCCAAATTACTTTCTGTCCATTTCACTTTATAATTTTATTTTTGTTCATATTTAATTTATGGAGGTTTGATTATGAAATAGTGGACTGTAGTTTAAAAAGATGAATTTATTTCCGGTGCACAGTTTGCATTGGACAACGTATTACACTCTGCTAGTTGCTGGAGTTTGAGCAGATACAGAGATGCTATTGATACATCCACCCTGCTAGAGGGCACACCTAGTTAATAGTGGTGGTGCTACAATATACATTACGTAAGAGCCTCCGTTGAAATTTTGAAAATTTCAAAATACATATAATGACATATGAACATTTTAAACAAAATTATATGAAGTTAGTACAAATCATATTACAAAAATAACAATTAGATAAATATTATATAAATTGAAAAAGTCTCTTAAGATATATACCAGATTTATAAATAATTAACAAGACTAATTATCATTTATGAGGAACAAACAAATTTGAGTAATTACTTGTTTTACTACTCCATTAGCTGTTCGGATGTACACAACTGTAACAGCGTTGTCTGCACCTTTAGCAAAGATTAGATTCGACCAAGTTTCCATTTGTATGGAGGCAAATCTTTATCTTTAAGAATAACCATGTCATTGGGTTTAACATTATTTTTTAGAAACATCCATTTGTTTCGCAAGTTTAAAAGATTGAGGCAATCAAGTGACCATCGTTTCCAAATACATTGAACAAATTTTGTTGTTCTTTGCCACCTTGTTAAATAGTTGTCTGGTTTATCAATTATTGTTTGTTCTGCAATAGAATTTAAGGGATGACCAATTAGAAAATGACCTGGGGTCATTGCAGTTAAATCACTGGGGTCTGCTGACAATGGACTGATTGGTCGGCGATTTAAGATCCCTTCTGTTTGTGTAACAACTGTCAATAATTCTTCAAATGTTAATTTAGATGAACCAGTTACTCTTCATAAGTGGTATTTGAAGGATTTAACTCCTGATTCCCATAATCCACCGAAGTTTGGAGATCTGGGAGGGATAAATTTCCATTTAATTCCTTCGGATGTTAAATAGTTTGCTAAATCTTCCTCTGAATTATTCATAAGTTTGTGTAATCTCTTTAGCTCTGAATTTGCCCCAGTGAAATTCTTAGCATTGTCAGAGAATATACACAAACATTTTCCTCTTCTTGAGAAGAAACGTTTTAATGTTGCTATAAGAGCCTTTGATATTAAATCAGTGATAAGCTGTAAATGGATTGCCTTGGTGGCAAAACGTACGAATATTGCTACATATACCTTTTGGAAGGTTCCTTTACGTTGACCCTTATAACTTGTAAGAAAAGGACCGCAGAAGTCAATCCCACAGTTAAAAAGTTTTATCTTGGATTGGCTCGCTCCATTGGTAAATTTCCCATTAACTGATTTGAATTGATTTGTTTGGTTTTGAAACAAATCACACAAGCATTTACAATCTTTCTAGCCAGATTTCTGCCTCCGATGGGCCAAAATTCTTGTCTGACAAAATGCAAAATTGACTGTGGACCCACATGCAAGTTTTTCTTATGAAAATATTCCATAATAATTTCAGTGAACCTATGCCTAGCCAGTAATAGGTTTGGGTGTTTTGAATCCCTACTCAATTGAGAATTTTGTAATCGACCTCCAACTCTAAGAAGTTCATTTTGATCTAAAAAAGGATTTAAATTTCTTACCTGACTCAGCTTCAAGTCCTTGTTATGTTTTAAACAATTAATTTCATGGCTAAAAGTTGCATGTTGAACTAATTTTAACTAAATGATTAGATGCCTTATTAGTTCTGTTGTTAACTTACCTACTTGCCGATTCTTAGGACATTTGATATTATTTACAAATCTGCAAATATAACTAAAAACATGTACAAGTTTAGTAAAACTGTTACTAATATTTAAAAAAAATCATCGATGAAGTTATTAATAGTGTTAGAAACTAAAACATGATTATAATTAGTCTTTAGTTCATTAGAATAATCATTATCAGTCATGTTAATAGGTTCCTTAGAAGATGGAATGTTCGAGTTTAAAAATGAAGGGCCAGTCCACCACATAGAGTTCTGCAGAAGATTGGTCACACTGGTTCCTCTAGATATGAAGTCAGCTGGATTGCTTTCTGAAGAAGTATGTCTCCAATCATAGTCAGGACATAGCTCGTTGATTAGTTTAACTCGGTTGGACACAAAGGGTTTGTCTTTCATGAGGAGTTTTTATCCATGCCATTGTTAACATAGAGTCCGACCACAGGTACACATGATGAAACTCAACTTGAATAATGGAGATGACCTTTGAAGTTAGTCAAGCAAGAAGCAACGCTGCACATAATTCTATCCTGAGTATTGTTAAGGTTTTTATTGGAGATACTCTAGATTTGGAGCATAACATGTTGTTTGCCACTGTCCTTGGCTATTTTTCGAGCTTATGTAGATTGCTGCACCATAGGCACGTTCCGATCGCTGAATCCATGTAATTCAATCATTATGGGATTTGTAATAGTCACATGCCTAGGAACCTTTACTTGATTTAAAGCAGGAAGTTGGGTTAAGAAATTTAATTCATATCATTGGGAGGAATTGGATCAGACCGTTTTAATTTTTGTCTCCACAGATTTTGTAGAAATATCTTTGCTTTTGTAATCACGGGACCAATTAGTCCGAGAGGATCAAACAGGCTTGCTATGGTTAGATAGAACATCTCTTTTTGTGAAACTTGCCTTTGATTCTATATTAACCTTAAAGGTTAAAT